CCAGCTCATCCTCTTCTTCTCCGGCATCCTCATCGTTGGCCTCACCGCTGTCTCCCTGCACAACAAGGTGTGCAGCACAGCCTGCCGCCCTCAAGCCCTGCCGTACCTTGCCTCTCGACTTCTTGCCTCACACTTTCCGTGCCCTTTGTTCTCCCACCCCTTTCCTCTTTCCCCGTCCCCACTCCCCTTTTCCCTCCCTTCCCCACCTCCATCCCTCCTTCCCTCGCTTTCCCGTTTTCGCCATTCGACATCATCAACTCTCTTCCCCGAATTACATCGTCCGACCGACCTCACCTCGCATCACTCTTCCCTTCCCTACTCGCCTCCCTTCCCCCCACATTCCCTCTGTTCCCACACCCCCCTTCCCCCGTCGCCCTTCTTGTTCCCCCCGTCCCTCTCCTCCCTCGGGTGCAGGTGAACGGCAGTCTGCTACCGGCGTCCATCATCTCAGTCTACAGCGTGTACGTGGCGGCCACGGCGCTCTGCTCTGAGCCGCGCGACTACGAGTGCAACGGCCTCGCACCGCACCTCAACTCCCTCTCCTCCACGCGCCTCGCTCTCTCCATGCTCGGCGCGCTGCTCTCTGTTGCCTACTCTGCTCTCCGGGCTGGCTCCTCCACTGCACTGCTCTCACCGCCCGATGATGACCAGGGTATGGCCACGTCTCTTGACCTTTCTCTCTCTGTGCTGCTGCGTAGCAGCTCTTGCCTCTGTGGTGCTGTGACTTAGTTCTGTTGTCTCCTGCTCCCAAACAGAGTTGAGTCGTTCCTCCTGCCCCTGTTTCTTCCTTCCTCTCCAACCGTGCACTTACACTCTCGCCCCTTTCTCCCACCCTGCTCTGCCCCTCTCCCCCCCCCCCCACACTCCTCAGAGCTGGAGCACCCACTGCTCCCCACAACTGTCGACTCCGACGCCTCCAAGCCCGACAGCTCCCCCTCTACCACCACCTCCGCAAGCGACGCGGCAGCAAACCAACCTGTGGCATACAACTACTCCTTCTTCCACCTCATCTTTGCGCTCGCTGCTGCCTACTCCGCCATGCTGCTCACGGGGTGGGGCGTGGGGTCGTCGGCGCAGGCAGCGGGCGGGGGCGAGGCCGAGTATCTCATTGACGTGGGCTGGGGGTCCGTGTCGGTGAAGCTGCTGCAGCAGTGGGGCACTGCGCTGCTCTATGTCTGGGCACTTGTGGCGCCACTGCTCTTCCCCGACCGTGACTTTTCGTAGAACATCTCTCGCTCTACACGTACCGCATGGTGTATGGAGTGCCCGTTCTTTACTTAGGCTCAGAGGTTTTTGGCAGACGCATCTGAAGCACAAACCTGTCCCATGGGCCATGGCAGCTGACGTGTAAATTTGTCCACAAACCACAAGCGTTGCGGTGTCGGTTTTTGTCACTAGTGTTCGGAAGTTTATTTGGCGCATGTGCTTATACCAGAAATGCATCTAGTGGTATATTTGTCTGAGCTTAGGCGTTTCTCCTCATAATCCCTTGCACTCAATACAGCATCCTCATACCGGTAGGCAATTAACCTTTGCTGGAGGAGTTCCACCTCCACTTGAAAACAGAGAACTTCTGTGAGTACAACTTCCACCAGCAGAAACCTTAACATGACAGGTACTGTACCAGCAGTGACCCGCAAAAACTGATGGAAGCTTCCCAGCATCAGAGGCTGTAACCCTGTGAAGAAGTTGCTCGTACGGCTTAACCCTACACAGCTGCTTTCTTGTAAATCGTCTCTGTGCGGCATGCGTGCTGTGCAGCAAAGCGAGCAGCCGTGAAGAGGAAGTCACTGAGGCGGTTCACAAAGCGCATCACCGTGGGGTCTATGCGCGGCAGAGGGGGCTCAGAGTCTGGTGCGGTGGCACCGCCTTCCTGTGCCTCGTGTGCTTCCTGCTGCTGCTGCTCCTCATCCTCTGCTGCCACGGCGATCACAGCGCGCTCTGCCCGCCTGCAAATGGACCGTGCCAGGTGCAAATGCGCTGCTGCCATGCCACCTGGGAGGGATGCATGGGGGAGGGAAGAGTGAGGAACAAGTGAGAAAAACAACCGTGGCACCAGGGGGCACAAAAGGGTGGGGAGTGCATAACCGGGTCTCAAACACAGACTCAATCGACCCAAGTACAGTGCACAGCCAGGCCCCTGACATATAACGTTCCCATCCCCTCTCCTCTCCTCTCCTCTCCTCCCCTTCCTCTGAATATCAACCCAACAAGCAGCAAGCATGCCAGCCACGTGGCGGCGAGCACGGGGCAGGAGGGCACCTGAGGGGAGGATGAAGGCGGTGAGCGGCGGCAGCTTCTCGTCCAGCGAGTCGATCCAGAGCTCCAGCGTGTCCACCGCCGTCGGATCGAACCGCACGCGCTGCAGCTTCGCGGCGGATGCGGACGACGGCGGCGTGGCGACGACGGACCCCACGTCGAGCAGCCGCGACTGGATGACCGCGATCTGCGGGGTGGAGTGGGGTGGGGGGCGGGGGAGAGACGGGAAGGAAGGGTTGAGAGGAATTGAACGACAGGAAGAGACATGGAAGGAGAAACGGGGGCAATTAGGAGGAGAGAGGGGTGGAAGTCTGAAGGAATTGGCCAAGGACACGAAAAGACGCGAGGCGAGGCATCTCAATAGCCGGTAGCACTTTTCAAGCCTACAATTCCAATCAAACCCTACTTATGTAGGAATTCAGCGCGACAAAGTTACTCTTGACATGCTGCATGTGCTATGCGACATGCGACACAAGTGGGCTTACGTCGCACGCGTCGCAGAACTGACCTGGTCGCAGAGCTCCTTGAGGCCCTGCACGCGGCAGTACTCCGCCGCCACGGCCAGCGCGCTGTTGAGCTCGTCCACGTCACCCAGCGCGCCGAACACGTGGTCGTCTTTGCGCCGCCGCTCGCCCGTGTACAGCGACGACGTGCCCTTGTCGCCCGTCCTCGTGTACACGCGCGCGCGGTGCCGCTTCTCCGCGGGTTTCACACCGCCGGAACCCTCGCCGGCGCCGCCGCTGCCGCCGGTAGACTCTGCAGCAGTCGCAGGGGCGGATTTGGGACCCGACGCGGGAGCAAGTGCCTTCTTGGCAGCGGAAGTGTGGAAATTCTCCGACGAGACTGCGGCGGCTTTTCCCGCTGCTGACGTCAGCACGGGGGCGTCGCACGCGCGATTAGCGAACGCTGGCGACGCCGAGAGAGGGTCGGCGTGGGGGGCTGCGAGGACCTCCATAGCTCGAACGGATGGGATTCGAACAGCACTAGCAAACGCAGCCGCTGCAGGCAGCAGGAATTCGCCGGCGCGTTTGACGGAGAAGGGTATGGGGTTAGGGGATGCTAGTCGTTGTGAGGTAATAGAAGCGGTGGCGAGGGTTGTGTAGGATGCAGGAGCGACGAATGGTGAGATTATTGGTGAGGGCGACGGAAATGAGAGCTGCTCGCCGGACTGGATGCGACGATATGCTCCCCTCGCTATGCGAGTGACGCAGCTGGTGAAAGGCGATCGCATGCTCCGACAGTCGAGCGGATAAGCCGAGATGATCTCGTCGACAGCCGATGGAAACGCGAAGAGTGATGGACCCTCCGCTGCGGATAAGGATTACCACCAAGCACTGAGGCTCCTCCACTCCACAGCGCGTAGCACGCGCAGCGAGCTCACGTGACAAGGAAAGCTGCTCCTGGAGGGAGAGAGCACGCGATGGGAAAATGAGAATGGGTTTGTGGTGAAGTGACGGAGCGTGGAGTGGAAGGAAGTAAATTTGTTGGGCCAAAATGCTAACCGTCGCAGGAGGTTGGGGATGTGAGTGATTCGCATAGGTTTCCGCAGTCGCAGAAACTGTGCGACGGCCTTTGGTGCACTCAGCATCCAGATTCGTGAGGTGGTGGACGACGGGGCGAAGAATATGGACGGCTGGACGACTTCGTGCGACTTTCGGCAGGCAGCCTTTTCGCAAGTTTGCGGCTGGGCTGCGTTGCAGGTAATCCAGTCAGCGGTGACAGTCAGGAGGTGTGGTTCGGTACTTTAGCAGCCAAGCTGTGGTGTGGCTCGGACGCTGGTTCGGAGACCCGCGTGCCGACGTGTTCGTTCGAGAGAGGCAGCAGGCAAGCAACCATTCATTCACCCGCCTTGATTCCCTCGTTCGTACACCCAGGACTAGGTCGAAAAGCAAGTATGAACAGCTTCGCCGTTTTTCTTCCCGAAATGAAGCACTCAGAAACGCGGATTAACTCCATCCATGCACAGAACCGAACCCTCGATACTAGATACACGCGAGCCCAGTCAGATGCAAGCATCCCGACGGATCTCGACTCTGACTGCGAGGGCCGATTCGGCGTGGCACCTTCGTCAACCTGACACCTCCTTGGGGATGGGAGGGGTCACTCTGGCCTGTGCTGTGTGGTAGGGGATGGGTTTTGCTTCCACACGCGGCTCCTCGCTCCCCTCCCTGCCTGTTTCCCTTGTCTTTCCCCTGTCCCTCTGTCGGCTGCCCTGCTGCTTTCCTTGGCGCGTCCCGCCCAATCTCGTTTGCTCGCTTCACCTGCACGGCTTGTCTTTCTGTCGGCGATCCCTAAACGAGCGTCCCTTCGATCCGACCCGCGATCTGGTGGTTTCCGCCACTGCGAGCTTCGTCGCTCGCTTGTAGGAAGCTACCCTGTAGTGGGTGATGGAGGAAAGGGAGAAAGCGGGTTTTGCGATACGAGATCTAGAAGAGAAGCAGCGGCTATTGCGGGAGCAACTAGGCCAGAGACAGCAGCAGCTCGCGAGTCAGCAATCGCAGTCTCACCAGCCTATCCAGTCCTCGCAATCAGCGCCAGCCGCGCAGAGCTATCAAATACTGGATCGAGACGCTAGTGGCGGTTCGACTGTGCCACGTGTACATCAGCAGCAGCAGCAACAGGGGGTCCCTCCCACCCCGCTAAATCAGCAAGCTTCACGATCCCAGTCGAATCAATCCCAACCGTCGCATAGGCCGCTGTCCCCGTCCCACTCCACCAAGCAACAGCAACAGCGGCTCGACATGTGGGACCAACGCAAGCCGCTCCTCGTTCTTGGCGGCGTCGCCATCGCGACGGCGCTCGCGTGCTACTTTCTCCCCTCGTCTCTCCGTCCAATCATCTTCGCCGCCGCCGCCCTAGCCGTCACGCAGCTCCTCTCTTCCCCGTCCTCGGAAGACGACAAATCCGCAGCGGGTGCCGCCGGCGGATCTGGGAGGGGCGGGCTCGCACCGCTTCCCCCGCCGGCAATTCCGCTGATCAAGTCCAGCTCTTCCCCGCCCCTTGGGTCGCTTCAGGAGAAATCCGCATTGGCGGGGGCTCTCGACACGGGCGCCGCGGCTGCGGGCGCTTCCGCGGGCGCGCAGCCGGCGGGGGAAGCGGCTGTTCCGCCAGCATTTGCAACTACGGCAGCCGCGCCGTCTGCAGCCGCCGCACCGGCAGCTTCTGCGCCAGCAGCAGCAGCCGTTTCTGCGGGGAAGCCAACGGCGGAAGCCGCCGCTGACGGCGGGGATGCCGCGGGGGATGGTACGGCTGCGTACCTTGCCTCGCAGGGGATCTCCCCCGGCGCTAGAGCCATGGCGGCCGCAATGAAGGCGAAGGCGACGCGCGCCGCCGCCCGCGCTGCAGCTGCGCCCATCACGGTCGCGGAAGGCACGGCGGAGGGACCGAAGAGTAAGCTGCACTAATCTGGCAGCGTGTTGTATAATTTGTCGGATGGCCTATGGCACAGTATAGTTATAGGTGGAACGTAATTCTTCTCGTGCTTCTCCTCACCGCCGTTCCTCTCTCCAGCTTTCCGTTCCTGGTGGTCGTATTGCCTCGTTGCCCTTCCCATGCCCTCACCTCATCCGAACCCTATACCCTGAACCTCCGCACTCGTTCCCTCGTAAAATCCTCCCTTTTTTTATATATAGTGGCGTTCGTCCCTTGTGCTCGCGTGGCGCCATGGTGGCATGTGGTGTGACATCGCGTGGCGTGTCGTGGTGTGGCGTAGCGTGGTGTGGTGCGGTGTGGTGTGGATCGGTGTGGTGTGGTGCGGTGTGGTACGCAGGGCCGGAGGGCATGGTGGTGCTGTACGGGTCGCAGACGGGCAACGCGATGGAGATCGCCAAGACCATCAACGCGGAGGCGCAGCAGCGCGGCCTGCCCTCGCACGTGCACGCGCTCAACGACTACTCACTGGTACGTGCGCGCGCACGCTGGCGGAGAGAGGGCCGAGGTGGAGGGGGAGGTGGGGAGTGGGATGGTGGGGGGGAAAGGGAGGGAAGGGGAGAAAGGGAGAAGTATAGGAGGGAGGAGGAAGGGGGGGAGGGACTGGAAAGTTGTGGATGGTGTGACACGGTCTGCCGTTTAATACTGCGTCTCATTTCTTACCCCTCATCACCCCAACCCCACCTCGCCCCCCCCCCCCACCCCCCCCCCCCTCTCTCTTCCCTTCCCCCTGTTCCCCATGTTCCTCCGTCACCTCGGTCCCCGTCCTCCTCCTGCGTGGCGGCGAGCAGGAGAAGCTGCGCGGGGTGGCGGTGGCGGTGGTGGTGGTGTCCAGCACGGGCGACGGCGACCCCCCTGAGAACTGCGACCGCTTCATCGGCGCGCTGCAGCGCCGCTCGCTCTCGCCCTCGCTGCTCTCGCACCTCAAATACACTGTCTGCGGTGCGCGCTCGCAAGCAGCCCCTCATGCTCTGGCCATAGCATCGGCTACACACACCCCACACATGTCACACAGGCGCACACTACCACGCACCACACCACTGCATTTTCGCCATATTGATACTCTTCTCTCCTCGACTTCCCTCTTCTCTCCTCTCCTCTCCTCCCCACCCCTCTCCTCTCCTCTCCTCTCCTCTCCTCTCCTCTCCTCTGCTCTCCATTATCGCACAACTCTCACCGTCCCACCCGCCCCTCCCATCCCCTTCCCCTGCGCGCGCCACCAGGGCTGGGAGACAGCAACTACACGCGCTACATGGCGGTGCCAAGAGTGTTCTCGCGCCGCCTGCCAGAGCTCGGCGCGCATCTGCTGTGCAAGTGCTGCGAGGCGGACGAGGTGGACGGGTGAGCGCTTGCTATGAGTGCCCATGCCATTTGCTGTGTGTTGACCACATGCATTTACGGTCTCGCCTCCTCTCCTCTCTCACCAGTTGATCCATTCGCACCTCGATCTCTCTTTCTCTCTCCTTTCGCTGCACTTGTCTGCCTCGGGCCTCCTTTGTGCACGTCGCCCACTCACTCTTCCCTCTTTTCCCTCGCTTTCCTCCCCTCGCTCCCCTGCCCCCGCATCTCTCGCCTCGCGTCCTCTCCCTCCGCCATGACACCAGTCTGGAGGAAGTGGTGGAGGCATGGACGGGCACCATATGGGGCCCCATTCAGGACGCACTAGCCGCGCCGGCACCACTGCCATCCGCAGAGGAGGAGGTGGGGCAGAAGGCGGGGCAGGGCGCGCAGGGGCAGGGGCAGGGGCAGCAGGAGGAAGAGGTGAAGCTGGTGGGAGTGCCTCCCCTGCAGGCGTGCCGCGTTCGCCTTGTCTGGCTCGATGGGGAAAAGCCTGACATTGACACCGCCACCTCCACTGCTGCTGCTGCTGCTGCAACACCCCCGTTCTCCCACTCCAACCCGCTGCGTGCGCCAGTGGTGGCAGCTCGGTTCCTGTCTGCAGAATGGTCGGACCGAGTGGTGGTACACGCGGAGGTGGATGTATCCACTGCCTTGCACGCCGGGGTGAGCATAGCCGCGGGCGACAGCGTGGGCGTTGTACCCAGTAACGACGCTGATATGGTGGAGCAGCTGCTGGCGAGGCTGGGGGTGGATGGAGAGAGAGTCTTCTCCCTGGTTGATGCTGAGAGCACTGAGGGTGGTGCCAGTGCTGTGAATGCTGGGAGTGGTGCTGTGGCAAGGGCAGTGGCTGCGAGCAGTCGCGACGGGGGCCACATCCCGGTGCGGTGCACGCTACGCCACGCGCTGCTGCACTGCTGCGACGTCAAGGGCACGCCCAAGAAGGGGCTCCTGCGCATTCTAGCCGACTACTGCAGCGACCGTAGGGAGCAGCAGCGCCTGCTCTTCCTCTCCTCGCGCGGCGGCAAGGACGCGTATAAGGAACTGGTCATGGAGCGCCGGCCGAGTCTGTTAGAGCTGCTGCGGGCGTTCCCGTCATGCCAGCCGGATTTGGCTCATCTGCTGGATGCGCTTCCGCCGCTCGTTGCTAGGTTCTACTCGCTGTCGTCGTCGCCTCTTGCCTCGGACCCACCGGGTACTTCGGTGTCGTTTGCGTTTAGCCTTGTGCACATGCCGCTGAAACCGCTCCTGCCAGACCTCGTGCCTGCTACTGCTGGTGCGGTGGGGGATGGCAGCGACGGTGCTGCTGCTGCTGCGGGTGCTGCTGGGCTGGCAGGGCTGAGGGTGTTTGAAGGCGTGTGCACGTCATGGCTCGAACAGTCCCTGCCTTTCGCTCCAGACGACAGGCAACGCGTGGCCAGGCGAAAACAGCAGCAGCTGCAGCAAGTGGGAGCAGAGGCAGCAGCAGCAACAGGGACCGACACACCCTGTCTCCCTCCCCCAGTCCCCGCCCTCTCCATATTCCCAAAGCCTGGGGGGAGGTTCTCCCACCCCGCATCACTGTCATCTCCCCTCATCATGATCGGCCCTGGCACTGGTGTGGCGCCCTTCAGAGGCTTCCTGCAGGAGAGGCGCCGGCTGATTGCACGGAACAAGGGCGAGGGCGAGGGGGGTGGTGCGGGGGAGAGCTGGCTGTTCTTTGGGTGCAGGAGGGAGGACGAGGACTACCTGTACCGGGAGGACTTTGAAGGGTTTGTGGCGGATGGCACGCTGTCGCAGCTTGATGTGGCCTTCTCCCGTGCCGGCAAGGACAAGGTGCGGCGAGGAAGGGGGAGTGGGGGCGGAGTGGGGTGTGAGGGTGGGTGCATGTGGCTGTGCTGATCTTATTGTGTCTTGTTCACGCTCTGGCAATGTCAGGATGGTGTGAGGGGCAGCAGGGAGGGGTGGGGTTGGGGGGCATGAGGAGCATATGTTTGTGTGGTGGAAAGATGTGCCATGTGCCATGTGCATGCATGTTAACCTGTGTCCCCTGTGCTATGTGTCGTGGCAGGTGTACGTGCAGCACAAGATGCAAGCCAGAGCGGAGGAGCTTGCACCGCTGCTGCTCAACCCAGCCACTTATGTCTTCATATGCGGGTGAGTGCAAGGGGGGGAGCAGGGTGAAAGGGACGCATACAGCACGTGCGTGGTGGTAGCAGAGGATGCCTGAGTGGCTTGCAGTTTCCCTTGTGCACGTGGGATGTCGAATGTTTGGTTGGGGTGGGGATGAAGGGGTGGCGACTTTGTCTCCCTCTCCCCGTGCCCTGGGTACTTACCCTCTCTCTCGCAGTCCCTCCTAACCTCACTCTCCCACCTTCCTCCCCATCCTTCACCCCCCTCTTCCCGGCATGGGAGCAGGGACGGAGCGGGCATGGTGAAGGATGTGCATGCAGCGCTGCAGAGCATCCTGCAGGCGCATGGGGGCATGGCGGCACCGTCCGCTGCTGCACACTTGCAGGACATGATGGGCGCTGGGCGGTACGTGCGCGACGTGTGGTCGTGAGCCATGTGTTACTTGAAGCACTCGTGGTGCTGATCCCCAATTCGGTGCTCGTGACTTTGTGATTGTGCCGGGAGAACGGAGTGGCGATTGGATAGAATGGAAGCTGTTACATGCCTGCCTCTTATGTGTGTTGTGACCTGTGATGAGTAACAAAGAGATTTTAGCTGCGTGGTCAGATTGTTTCTCTTTTCGAAGGCAAATGATTGTGTGCGCTTTTTGCCCAGAGATGGAGAGTGGTGGAAGCAACCTCCTGAGTGGGTAAGCATTTTCCAGGAGAATGACAACAAATGACAGCAGATACATCTTTTCATTGAATGCCTTCGACACTACAGACAGAACACAGCTGTGCAGTGGCGTATTCATAACAAGACAGTTCAGGGGCTGATGAGCAAGCACAGCAGCACGGCCGGGGCAGGGGAGGATAACGCGGCGTGCTGCAACGTGTGCTAGTGGGGGTCTGGGAGGGTCTTCTCGTGGGCCAGGTATCGCTCGCACAGCAGGCGCAGCTGAGCAGGTGAGTGCTGCATGCGGTTGCGCTTTATGTCCAGTGCCATGGCCTGCCGGGGCAGGGGTGATGGCGATGGTGGACATGGGTGGAGAGAGGGAGGGGCAGAGGGTGGTAATGAATGTAGGGGAGGGAGTTGTGGTTAAAACGAGGGTCTAGATTTGACAAGTGGGGGTTCAGAAGTTTTTGTTTTGAACCAGGCTTGCCAGCGCGAAAGTGTTGGCTAACGAAAACCTGGATTTCGTGCGGACACTTTTCCTCCGCAGTAACAGTTCGCCAGGGTTTTGGGTTTCGGGTGGCAAATATGCACCGTCGCTTTAAGACCAATAATGGCAGCAGAAGGAAGATATGGGTTTCCATGCAGGCGTGTTGCTTGCACCATACGTCTTGTGTAGGCACATGCAGGGTCGCAACATTATAAACAGTGCACGCACGGTGAGCAGGTGAATTGTTAGCAGCAACGTGTGGGCAGGCGCAAGGGCCCTAGGCGCATGCTTTACCATTTTTTGTCAAATTTTGAGTCTACTACATGACTGCCACGTGCTCGTGATGCTGCTGCAGCAGCGGTGCAAGCTACTCACCTTGTAGTCTGTGTCATGCACTGCCAGCAGTCGCCCCACCACGGTGCGCTGCACACGCGTCAGCCGCGGAGGAGGCGCACCTGGATCCCTCTTCACCACGCCCAACGTTGCCAGCAGCTCTGTGGGGGGGGGAAGGAAGGGGGAACGGAGGAAGGGGTGGGGAGGGAAAGTGGGAAAGGGAAAGGCGGAAAGCGGAAATGGAAGGGGATGGGGGGGAGGGGAGATGTTGGAACGGGGATGGTTATCAGAGCAGCGAATTGGTAACTAGAGCAGCGTAACCAGAGAACCACTCACCATGCGACAAGTGTCCCTCGCCTTCCCCTCCGCCTGCTCCCCCATCCGCCGCTTCCGCGCCCCCTCCTCCCCCCAAATCACTCTCCGCGGCGGCCGCAGCGCCCGCGTCTCTATCCTCGCCGTCCGCCGCGCCGCCCTGCTCGAGAAACACGCCGCGCGAGCTCGCGTTGGTCTTGGCGCGCGGCTTGATCAAGAAGGGGTCCACTTGGAGCCCCGCGCTGCGGTAGTTCTTGCGCAACGACGTGTCGCGATTCCACTCGATGCTGCTCGCGGAAGCGGGCGGGAGCGCGGGGGGAAGAGGCGGGGGGGGGGGGGGGGGGGGGGGGGGGGTGGGGGGGTAGGAGAAAAGGGAATGGGAAGGGGTAACGGAACGCCGATAGGAGATCGCGGTGGGGGGACGGGTGAGAGGGGGGAGGATACACGGGAATTGTCCTGCGGCTGAAGGGGTGCGCGGGGATCATGCGGTGAGTTAGCGATGAGCAAGGGCAAACCGCAAGAACAGCAGCAGCAATTTCCGCAAGGCAGCACGAAGTCACAGGCGAATGCGGGACCTCAAGCCAGTGGAGCACGGGGGCGAAGGGGGAAGAGCGGAAGCGGATGCGGAGAAGGGGGAGCAGATAGGGGGATTGGGAAGCAGAGAGGGGCGCACACTCGTCCGTCGGGCAGCTTCACCGCGGGTGGAGCGGGCTTTTTTATCTTGGGCAGGCGCACGCGCACCGGCGCCTTCCCCCGCTTCAATCTCCGCCGAGAGCCTCCCATGGCGCAAGCTGTCGAGCGCGGAGAAGGCGGCGAAAGGGGACGAGGGCGAAACGGACAGGCGGAGGAAGCGTCGACGAGGAGTCGCGGTTGCGCGGTGTGTGAAAGCGGCGTAGCTGGGGAAAAACGTTGGTGCAGTGTTTGGAAGGTGGAAGGATTTTCGCGAGGGTTCTAGCTTTCTGGGGTCTGGGGTTGGGTATTTGCGGACTCGACACCCGCTATTAGACGATCCGTGAAAAAGCAGTTCTGCACACCATCTAGGGTCAGATTCTAGATGCTCTTGGAATGCAAGAGCAATTGTCCATTCAGTATTATGTCTAAAGTCTCAATGAAGAGGCTAGAATGTGTTACCCCAGCTGTACATTTTGCATCCAAGAGGAAATCAATAAATATATTAAACGAATGAACAAATGCAGCATGCATCACACAAGCATAACCACAAACGGTACCATGTGGCCTTTAGGGGTCAGCACATCATCATGTATCCCTGAACGCCAAGGAAAGCACACGAACGAGTTTTTCCGGACCCAAAAGTACATCCCAAGAAAAACATGGTCCTGTTGTAGTGCACACATGACACCACGCTTCCCCAATTCCCAGGTGTGGGGACAGCAAGCAACCGTGAGGCATCAGTAATGGTACAGGAGCTCTCCACCACAACAAAACAGTGGTCAAGCCGGACAAGGTACGGTACCCAGACCGAAGCAGTGAGGCACGGTAAGCAACAGGCTCCAGGCTCGGGCCGAGGCTTGCGATTCCGACGAAGCTATTTCTTACACACAGCCACCAAACAGCAGTGGCGGCGGTGGCGGTGGCAGCAGCATGGTAAGCATCAGCCGTGTGTTTGTGGCGATGCAGGCGATACAGACGAATGGCTTATTTGCTAGAGGCGGGAGGAGAGAGTGAAAGGGCGGGTGAAACCGGTAGGGTTACAGGCAGGCCCGTTGAAGGCAGGGTTAGAGTGGGAGGAGGGTGGTGTCAGTAGGGGTAGGAGTTGATGACGTTGCCCGGAGGGTAGTAATTGCACACCCAGACCTGTGCTGCTCCCGAGGGGCATGTGGCTGTGGCACAGCCGACCGATGTGGTGCTTCGCCATACCATCTGCATGGGGGGTTGGGGGAGGTTGGGGGAGAGAGAGAAAGGGTGAGAGCGAGAGAGAGGAAGAGCTGAAGAAGGAGGTCGTATGAGTGTGAGCGAAGGTGGGGATTGCAAGAAGCTAGTGTCGAAATTTCCTGGCAAATGCGGGATGGGAGAGCGCACGTCTGGAGGAGTGTGCAACGGCCAGGTTCACGTGGTGTCATGACATGAAACACGAGCCGTACCTGTGTGTAATGGCCACACGCCTTCCAGTTGCCGCCACGGCACCCAGAGTCAGAGCCCCCTGCATCCCCCACAAACACCGCTCTTGTGTACCGCCCCCCCTCCTCCAACCACACTCCTAACCCTGCCCTCGCCCCCACCACCTGCCCTGCCGCCAGCCCTGAGAGCGCTGCTAGATTCTGACCCATACGCAGAGAGGCAGCGGCGGAGGACGAGGAGGATGAAAGAGGAGGGGAGGCGAATTGGATGGAGGAAGGGAGGGCGGAGGACTTGCGCGGGCCGGCTTTGGCCTTGGTGTTGAGAGATTTGGCTTTGAGAGAGGAGGTGGAGAGGGAGGGAGAGGGGAGGGCGAACATGCCGTGCACGAGCGTGCCGCACTGGTTGCCGTTGACTGAGGTGTTGGTCACCAGCTGTGTCGCCCATGTCGCTGCTAGTTTCGCCACTGGCGAGTAGCATGAGGGAGGAGATTGGCAAGGGAGAAGAGGAAGAGAGAGTGAGGGAGAGAAGGGAAGGTGTGCGGTGAGAGTTGGAACGATGCGAGCTGAGATGGGATCAGGAGGAGCGGGAGGAGCGTGCTTTGAAAGGAATGGTGTGCGCGCAGGGGGTATGTGGAGCGAAGCGAAGGCAGCATGGGTGAGTGAGCGGGTATGGAGTGTGTGACTCACATGTGTCGTTCCATTTGACCTCCGGCACTCCCACAGCATAGCGCACACCGTTGTGCACGTCCAGGTAGTCTGCATTCTTCACCACACTGGACGAGACGCAGGTGGCCTTGGAGAAGGAGAAGCCCCTGGGGCACGCGCACGTGGCAGCACCGCTCACCGCCACACATGATGACGCTGATGGACACTGCACTGCCGCGCACGGGTCTGTGGTGGTGGCACGGCAGGGGACAGGATGGGAGAAAACAGGAGAGGCGAACACAAGTGCGTGTGTATGTGGTGAGTAATACACAGCTTGATAGTGTGTCACCGTTTTATGTGTTTCTGCATACAACCGAGACTGCATGCACGCGGGCAAATGCGGTGAGATGCAGTGAGCCATGTCCGGCTGCACGACCCAACCTACCAGAGCAGGAGAGGCCGTCGGGTCGCAGGCGCCAGTTGGGCGGGCATGCGCAGTACGCCGCGCCTGTGGTGCTGTTCACCGCGCACGTCGCCGGCTGCTTGCACGCCGTGTCCGCGCATGGGTCTGCGCGCGGGGGAGAAAGGGGGTGGGGTGGGGATCGGGTAGAAAAAAGGACAGGAAGTGGGGAATGAGAGGGGGGAGGGGAGAAACAGGCAAGCGAGTTGGGCGGAACGAGAAGGGGCAGATGGATGCAATCGAGCGGGCGGAGTGACTGGCGTATATTCAGGATTCTCAGGATACTTATACAGTTTGACGCGATTTAAAGAAGGCGAGGGAGGGCAAGGCAAGCAGGGAGACAAGGAGAGCACGGGATAAGAGGAGGGCGGCGCAGCGCACCAATGCAGGCGCCGTTGCGCATGAGCAGCCCGTCCTTGCACGCGCACACCGGCCGGTCGTTCACCAGCGCGCACGACGAGTTTGCGGGACACGCCGTCACTTGACACGTGTCTGCTCGGCGCGCAGGGGAGCCGCGGGGGAGAGGGGAGGGTAGCGATGGAAGGCGGTGAGAGTGAGGGACGGTGGGAAAGGCGAGGAAAGAGCTGTCATGCAGATTGCATGATGCAGCGGAACCATTAAGCTAGTGACACGTAGCACGGCAGCATGCGGAATGCGGAATGCAGGGCGCGCGGAGGGCAAGGCTGACTCACTGACGCACTCCCCGTCGCGCATGGTAAATCCCACCACGCACGCGCACGTGGGCGCGGTTCCCCCCTCCAGCGCGCACTGCGAGTTGGGCGGACAGCGGTACCCCGTGCACGGGTTGGGCACTGCGGAGGGGGAGGGGGGGGAAGGGAAGAGGGGGAGGCGGGGGGTGAGGGGGAAGGGGAAGGACAGGGGAGAGGGGCAAGCCGTGCGATTATGGCAGCTAGGGACCGAGGGGGACGGGGAAGGGGACGGGGGAAGATAGGAGGATGGGCGGGAGTAGGGGGACCGGGAGGCGAGGAAGACGAGATATGCACTCGCGAGTGGGTGAAATTGCAACGGGTGGTGCGAGCGGTGGGCGGAGCGGGGAGCAACGGAGAATCGTACCGTAGTTGGCGCAGGATATGGAGCGAATGGGTGAGTACACTCCCGTGAAGAACCTGCGAGCGGGACGACACAAGGGCGCGGAGCGAGAGCGAAAGTGTTAGGGCGACGGGAAGATCAAGGGACGTGCACGTGCCGCGCGTGCGCCATTGACATGACACCCCTTGCTCCCTCACGCTCGTTTTGCTCGCTTTCTCGTCAACCCCATTTCCGCTAAGTCTTCCCCCTACCCGCGTCCCCGTTCCGAAACGTATTCCCCGCCTTTCCGCCCTTTTCTCCCCTTCTCCGGACCCTCACTCGTGTTTCTCCCCCGGTCCCTCCATTCCCTCTCCCGCCTCCCCTCCTCTCCGCGTCCCCCCACCGCCCCGTCACCCCTGCCCCTCCCCGTTCCTCACTTGACGGGCGTGTCGGGGTAGTCGTATCGCGACGCGGTCGCCTCTCGCCATCCCCCGGGAACGACGAAAACGCTCGAGTACCCGCCGCAATTGTCGCTCGTCCACAGGCTCAAGCTTCCGCACAGCTTCACCGTCTGCCCGCCAGATGCGGCGGACTTCACGTTCCACGCGATCGCGGCGCTCTCGGTGCGGCCGTTAAACGCGGGGGGCAGCGTGAGGCATTCCCCCGGCGCGGGCGCCTGTACGTTGACGAACTTGCCGTTGAGCGCGGGCTTCGCGAAGAGCGTCACGACCGTGCCGACGAACGCGGACGCAAGGTGCCGCCGCGCGAAGGCCTCTGCGGAAGGGGAGGGGACGCGGCGTGGGAGAGAGGGGGGAATGGGACGAGAGGACGAGGGGAGGCAAGGGGAATGGGAGGGGATGCGGGGGAGAGGAGGTGGCAAGGGGAGGGAGGGAGGTGTGGGTGGGGAAGGAAATGGTAAGCGAGAGGGGCGTAGGGATGTGGCGGGGCAGGCGGAAAGGGAAAGGGATATCGGGGGTCACGCCGATGGAGTGGAAGAAATGGGGGGAGAGAGGAGGGGAAATGGTGGCGGAAGGGAGAGGGGAAGAGGTTGGACGATCATAAAAGGTCGAATAGGGTGACGAGGAGGGTGAGAGGGTAGCGGGGAAGGTGGGGGGGGGGGGGGGGGAGACGGGAAGTATGGGGATTGACAACCGTGCAACGAAGAGGGAGGTGGAAGGCGAGTGAAGGGGCGGCAACACGGCAGGGGTGCGGTGTGAGGCAGGACGACAAGAGTATGGGGTGAGAGGAGCAGCGGAGAATCACGCGGGAGAGAAGGCAAAGGGAAGGCGGATGGAGATACGTACGATCTCCTAGCAGCCGTCGGATGGCCTCGTTCTCTAGTCTCCGTCTCGAGATTACGGGCCGCTCTATGGAAGGGTGTATTTGAAATCTGGCGCTGCAGATAACGACAAGAGCTAATCCCAGGACTAGCCGTAGCAAGGCACTTAAGGAGGTATGCTGACACGCGGGCAGTCGGCCGGCCATCAACACTCGCCGCCGCTTCTGCATTGTCGCCGTCGATAGCTGCGCCCGCTGAGCCTATCGGCTATAGCTAATGGCTGGGGAGCTTCGCTGTTCTGCTGGAACGCGCTTGTAGTTCTATGCCCGCGTTCAAGACGCTACAATAGTGATCGGTGGACGGAGTGGAAATTGTACTATTGGCTGGTCTAGACCACGTTTCTTCCGGGTTGTGTTGTCGCAACAACTTAATGCACTCGACGTCTCGGCGGGAAGGAACCAACCTATTTAAGGGAGTGAATTCGACCGCCATGCTCGCCGTCTACTGCGGAAAGAAGCAGCCATATGGAGCGGAAGACAGAAGATGAAGCTGAGGCTCTAACGCACGTCAGTGGATGACTGATCGGGCCAGCGATGCGACTTAATAGTCTCAAGTACTCTAAACCGCTGTACGGAACAGAAGACGCCAGAAATAAGGGACAGTCTGGAACGTCCACTTAGAGGGATGGGGGAACACTGTGCTGAACGTAATCTGGTAAGGAGGAAGCGGAAAGAAGGCCAAGCAGGCCAATTTAGTGCTACTAGCCGAGGATGACGTGTTGTACGGGAGTGAACATAAGACTGGGGAAAGCCAGTGGAGGAAAGCAAGGATCGTACAACTGTAAGTCCGTGGGTGGACGGTAGGCTCGATTTTCTGGACAGGACGGTAGCACTTAGGAGACGAGTGGGTGGGAGGGAGGGACTGCCTTACTCGTTTGGTTGGGCATTAGTGCCAGCGGATGGGGGGAGGCGGATGGTAGGCGTGGGTTGGGGAAAGGTGCATGTGGGCAAGGATGAGGGACTTCTCAGCTGCAAGGACGGAATGTGCTTGCGCTACTGGGGGACAGCTGGGCGCGGAGGGTAGGAAAGGGGGAGGGCGGGGAGGAAGGAGGGGGAAGAAGCTTACGCTCGTGGCGCGGTTGAGGTATTGCCGTACGACAAGGAGAATTTTGTTTTGTCGTCAAGTGCGGTAAATGGTCGCATAGATATTAACGAAAATGTTAACGACTGTGACGACTCTCCAATTTACGTCGCCAAGGTCCAAAATGAGCAGTAAACGACGACATTGTGTGCACTCGAGAAACCGACAGGACAAACCAGGTGAAAAATTGGACACAAGTGGTGGCCCTCACAAGGCTGCTTGCTGAGGATCTGAACACTTTCTTTTTGTGTGGTTCGGTTGAGAAGCTCGGTCGTCTCGATGGACTGGGTGGGAGCCCACGGTTGGAAGACGAAACATAGGCTGAGAAGCTGATGATTGTCGTGGTTTTGACCAGAACCAACATCAGAACCTCAACAGCGGGTACACAGCGAGGTAACCCCAGCGATTCGTATTTCCTCTTGAGTTATCCACCTCAGCTGCAACCACGCGCTCTACCTACTTCGCAAAAGCTGCTCACTGCTGCGCAGCACCAGTTTGGAAACTGTTTCCGCGAAAGCTGCTCTATAACGATGATCCACCTGCGGCTCGTGATCGAAGGGTTCCAGTGATTTCAGCATTCACTGATTGATAATATGATAATATGTGTTACGGGTGCAATGAATCTAAGTAGCGAGAATTGCACTAAGGTGTCAAAACGAGTACAAAATGTGAGTGAAGGCATGAGCGAACATTTATACGCAAAACATGCAAACGGTAACGCGGTGCGTGCGAGCTAGCTAGTGCTATGCTGGAAGTGAGGCTCGTGCTAGTCCCGAAGCGTAGGCCGACACGGCCAGGCCAGCAGTGCGAGGTTTGGTGAAACGGTGCGCGCGAAATCAGCGAAGCCCCGTTAGCAGTAACGGGCGAACAACGGCTGCTGCTGTACACGATGTTGCAGGGTGCGCTAAGGAATATCGAGAAAATTCCTTACACTACCCCCCCCCCCCCCCCCCCCTCAAGAAGCCCCCTCCGCTATGCAAGTGCGTGTATATTGTGGAAGCCCCGGCTCCTCAGGTACACTTGCAGGGCAGAATGGTTTTCGATGTTGGCCAGGGGCACCCAGCTATCCTCAGTTGGCGTGCGATCCTTCCAGCGAACGAGGAATTCAATCCTCCTGATTCCTGTGGGGTGTCGAATCCGATGGCTCCGGAATTTTTTCGGGCTCGATGATCGGCTCCGATGCAGAGCAAGTCATGGATGGCGGGCGGTGACGAGGCAGTTGGCTTGTGGTTGGGATATACGGGCGAAGTAGGCTGACGTGGAATGAAGGGCTGATGTACCAGTCCGTCGGTAACAGTAGGTGGGCTGTCACTGGGGTAATCATGTGGCTGATTTAGAATGGTCCACAGTAGCGGGTCGTAATTTCGGTACGACGAGCAGCCTTAAATTTTGTGTGTCGAGCAGTACGTAATCCCCTGACTGGTACGTGACTTGGCGGCGGTGGCGGTCAACGTTGCACTTAGCGATGACGTTGGCTGTTTTAATTGCTTCAGCGGCTCTGGTGCGGGCAGCTTGCAAAATTTCGGCGAATTGCTCTGCACGTGGTGTTGGGTTGTTCAGACTCGGCGTCATGGGCACTGTAGGGTTTTGCCCGTAGTTCAGGTAGAAGGGGACTGCTGCGTCATCACTGACGTGGCGTTGTTATACGCGAACTCGATCAGCGGCAGCTGCTGCTCCCAAGTGGTCGGATCATCGCACGTGGCACGAATCAACTGCTCGATCGTCTGATTCGTCCGCTCCGTTTGATCGTCGGTCTCGGGGTGGTACGACGAGCTGAACTCTAGCCTTGTCCCGAACTGCTCCCACAGGTTCTTCTAGAAGTTGCGGGTGAACTTCGATTCGCGGTCGCTGATTATCGCGGCTGGTATCCCGTGTAGTCGAACGACGGCTGCGATGAACAGGCGAGCGGTTTCTTCGGCTGAGATCGATTTCCTACACGCAGCGAAGTGTGTCATCTTCGTCAACCTGTCAACGACGACCATAACCGCGTCGTTACCCCCAGGGTTCGAAGGTAACCCTGTGACGAAATCCATGGTAACCTGCTGCCGGGCGCGCTCAGGCGGTGGAATCGGCTGCAACTCACCCGCCTTTCTTTTTCGCGAGCTCTTCATCACCTGACACGTAGGACACGAGCCCACGTGGTGCTGTACGTCGGTCAACAGCTCCGGCCACTAGTAATACCGCTGCCGTTGCTGTCGCGTCCGAAATGTCCCGAGGTAATCCCGTCGTATGCCTCCTGCAGTAACAGTTCCCTCAGTAGTGAGTATGCGTGTACCCAAATGCGGTTGGTGCCTGTTTTTACGTAGTAGACTCCTTTGGCCTCTGCCAGTTGTTGTGAATTTCCGGTCGTGAAAAATGGGTCGGTATTGTATCCGTGGGTGAATTGGCCTGTTAACAGTGGGTTGGTTTGGGCGAGTAGGATGGCGTGGAGTTGGGCGGTGGGGCGTGTGAGTGCGTCGGCAATGTTGGAAGTATCCAACCAGCGTCCAACTTCCACAATACGGTCCCCCAACGTGTACTCAACCCCCTTCCTCAGCAGGTCGGTCAGCGGGGCAGTCAGCTTCGCCATGTCGGGGATGAACCGGCGCACGTAGTTGACGAACCCCAAAACTCTGCAACTCGGTCAAGTTGGTCGGCGCGTGCCAAGCTTGAATCGTCGCGATTTTTTTCGGGTCTATTTCCACTCCTACAGCTGAAATAACGTGTCCCAAAAACTCCAGTCGGTCCTGTAAAAACTCACACTTAGACGCTTTCGTCAGTAGGCGGTTCTCACTCAGTATCTTAAAGAATGCTTCAATGTCATGTAAGTGATGTGCTCTGTCGGGGCTATAAATCAGTATGTCGTCCAGGTATACGATGACGCACTTATCTAAAAGCGGGCGGAAGGCTTCGTTCATGGTCATTTGAAAAGTGGTGGGGGCGTTGGTCAGTCTGAGAGGCATGACGGTGTATTCGAAGGATCCGTAGCGTGTTCGAAAGGCTGTCTTAGGGCAGTCGGGTGGGATGACGCGAATCTGGAGGTAACCTCCTCGAAGGTCGATTTTCGAGAAAACCCTGGCTGTGCGCAGTTGGTCGATCAGTTCGTCGGCTCGCGGGATGGGGTAACGGGATTTGATGGTTAACCCTGTTCAGTGCTCTGTAATCTATGCACATGCGAAATCCCCCGTCTTTTTTCGGTGTGAACAGTATCGGTGCTGCGAAGGGTGACGAACTAGGGCGAATGAATTCCTTCTCGAGTAGATAATCCAGTTGCTTCCTCAGTTCGTCTAGTTCGGGTTGGGTTAGTCGGAACTGTCGCTATACTGTCGGCTGTGCCCCCGGTTCTAGTTCTATCCTGTGGTCGTGCGGTCGCTGAGGTGGCAAGCCCGTCGGTAAGTCGTCCGGGAAGATGTCGCTGTACTGCTTCAATAGTCCTGCCATATCACTCGGTACGTCGGCTAGCAGTTTCCGTAAATCCCCTCCTTTTTTCTGTTGCCTCAGCTTCCCGAATGTCAACCGCGTACACGTCAGCTCCTGCCGCTACGGCGCGTTTCATCGTGATCGCCTTGACACGCACCGACGAAGACTCAGGCGAGCCCCAACGATGTAAGGCGATGTTGTTACCGTTCACTCGCACAGCACAGTCACCCGTCGTCCACTCGATTCGTGGATTGTGTCGTCGCAGCCAATCACGCCCGAGTACAATATCGGTTCTGTCGAGGGTCGTTGCGAGCATTTCCCGGCTAAACGTGAAGTTACCCCCGCATCGAATCCGAACCCCGTCTACGCGTTCCCGTATCGCCAGTGGCGTGCCGTCGACCGGTTTTGCGTCGATCTCAGGTAAACATCTGTCCAGTGGCAGTCGCAGTTTTCGTGCTGTGGCAGTGTTGATAAGGCTGTGGCTGGCCCCTCCGTCTACGAAGATTTTAACTAAGTCCGTCCCAATTTTCCCACTAAGCACTATACGGCTGTCTACCGTAGTACCCTCCTTATTCGGCCGGGTGTGGTCGATTGCATGTACCGGCACAATCACTCGGTGAGGGTCGGTTGGGTCGGGCGAGCGGCGTGACCTGTCAGTAGAGGGCCCGTCTGCTACTGACTCCCAGCGTTTCCCTGCTGCTTGGTATGTTTCTGCTGCTCAGCTTCCCCCTTTCCCTTAGCATTTTCCGGGCATTCGCTCTTACGGTGTCCCGGCCGATTGCACGCAAAGGAGCGCCCTTTGAATGGTGCGGTAGCGGCATTTGTAGCGACGGCACGTATCGTAGCGCCCCCGTTCGTCCCACGAGGCCGATGTCCCCAATTTCTGCTTCCGTAGGACCCCGATCTCGGTCGGCGGAAGAAATCGAGTTTCTCCACCATGGCGAGAATCTCCTGAAATCGGTGACGCCGCGAAGCTGGATTTCCTGAGCGATGTCCTGCTTCAGGCCGCCGATGTAGCGGTTGATGCGCTCGCTCTTGTGCATGTATCCCACTTGCTCGCATAGCGCCAGAAACCCGCTCGTGTAGTCTTCGACTGAACCGAGTTGGCGCCAAGTGTGGAGCCTCTGTCGCGCCGCGATCGAAGTTGCAATTGGCTCGAAACGAGCGCGTAGACCTGCGCACCACGCGTCCCACGTGCGATACTGGGGCACCTCCACGAAATACGACGGCGCCCAGGGTCCGGTTTGTCCTTCCCGTGTCGGTAGAGTCGCGTAGTCCACCGGCTTCGTAACGATGACACGCCACCAGTCCATGGCGGGTCCTCGCAGCAACGACACGGCGTATCGGATCTTCGCCGTATCCTCCGAGACGTAGTTCGCGTCAAAGAAAACGTTCAACGTGAAAAGCCACGCCTGAACGGTAGGACCACCCCGCTGACTCGGGTCAAAACATGGCGGACGCTGCGGCTTTAGAGGCATCGGCGACGGAAGAGCTGATTCGCCAGCCGGCACCGAAATAGTGACTCGAAGCTGATTCCTGGTCGCATTCGTCGCGGCGGGGTGTGTCGTGCCGTGGTCGTCGTCTCCGTCATGGCGGACGACACCATCACTTGCGGCGCTCGCGGGTTGCCCCACACTTCCGTGCTATGATGCCTGTGGTGCGGGCTGAATCGGAGTGCCAGGTGCTTGGGATTGTGTTCATGCGAGGTCGTTTTGCAGGAACGTGCGTTCTGCCGTCAGCGCCGCGATTTCCTCAAAGCTTTCGCGGATTTGCCGCAGTAGTTCGTTCAAGTGCTCTTGCGTGAGAGTCGTGACATCGATATGCTCAGCCATTTCGAAGGGCGTCGGCTCGTCTTAGTCTAGGCGCAGTCGTGGCTGCACGCGTTTACGAGAGAACGCGAGGACAGCGGCTCCTAGGCGCTAAGGTGCGTGGGTCCCTTCGAGTGAAAAAACAAAAGTTGATTTCCTGGGGTGCGGAGATGCGCGGCCCGAAAATGAAAGAGGCTCTGAATACCAAGTGTTACGGGTGCAATGAATCGAAGTGGCGAGAATTGCACTAAGGTGTCAAACGAGTACAAAATGTGAGCGAAGGCATGAGCGAACATTTGTGCGTGGAACATGCAAACGGTAACGCGGTGCGTGCGAGTTAGCTACTGCTATGCTGAAAACGAGGCTCGGGCTTGTTCCGAAGCGTAGGCCGACAGTGCGAGGTTTGGTGAAACGGTGCGCGCGAAGTCGGCGAAGCCCCGTTAGCAGTAACGGGCGAACAATGGCTGCTGCTGTACGCGATGTTGCAGGGTACGCTAAGGAATAACGAAAAATTTCTTTACAATATGCCACATCTGGTGATGCACACTGGTATTAATATATGCATCTTTCACATTCTGAATAGACCAATGACAGCAATATGAAACCCACAATGAATGAAATAAAAGAACTTTTTTTTAAATTAAATGTAACATTGAAAATCAGATTTTATAAGGCCAATTTGTAATATTTACCGTCACAATGTAATCTCCTATGAGTCATGAACCATCAAGGAACATAATAATGGTGACGCACATGTTTCCTGGCGAGTATGCCTTCTTCCTAGGTGGGTATGTCACCCCATTGGTTGCGCAGCACAGAAATGCGTGCATGGTGACATGGATTCTTTCTATTCATTGGTGGTTGCGTCTGCTCGTTCGAGCGAGCTGCGTGTGCAGGCTGTTGGTCTGGTTTCGGTTTATTTTTTTTAATTAATCGGTTATCGTTGGTTGAAAGGTTTGAGCTAGGTCATTCTCACGGTTTCCACAACTTCCTTCCCATCTTGTGCTTCTACTGTTCGCCTTGCCGTGCCAGTGCACGGAAACACATGCGTGATGCGTTGTCGCGTCGAGCTTGGTTGGTTGCTTGCTTGGTTTGGCCTAGTTTGCGTGCATAATCCATAATCCATAATCCATTGAGATCTGTCTGTGTGGGTTGGTTGGTGCTCATCCGTTTGCAGCCATGTTCCGGACCGCCACACGCGTTGCCACCAAGGCCACGGCCTCCGCTGCCGCGACCACCGCCGCTGCTTCCGCGTCGGGCGTGGGGCTGAGCACCGCATTTGCAGAGCCAGCACTACAGGCACGAGCTCGTGTTATCGCTTTCTTGCTTTTGCACTACATCCTTTTTTTTTTTCTTTTCATGGCTTATTGTCATCGCCGAATCTATGTTATTGCATTATCCAGAAATGCGTTAGCAGAGATTTTATCATGTCTCTTATTCCCTTTCCCAATCCATGATTCTGCAACGGCGCGAAGCTTGCATTGAAGCATTTATTTTCCCCCCTGCAACCTCCCGTTCACCATAACTGTGTAATCAGAGCGACGCATCTGTTCCGTTCGGCTACAATGGCTCCCTCCGTCCGCTCGACGGCAGCTGGGAGGAAATCCCGAAACCCGCTTCCCCCACTCTCCCCGCTTTTCCGCAACCCGCGGAATCCGCCAGCGCCTCCGTCGCGGGGTCAGCGCGAGCGGCGAGGCAGCGGGCGAGCGCGCGCGTGATTTCCCTTGCGCCTCCCAGCAGGGAAGAGACGGACGCCGCGTGGGCGGAGGTGGTTTCCACCATGATGGCGCCGCCTCGCCCGTCTCACTCTGCGCTTGCCAGCCCCGCTGGTGCCGCGCGCGCTAGTCTTACCGCTGGTATAGCGGGTGCTTCCGCGAGTCGTGCGGGGGAGGAGGAGAGCATGGCGGAGAGCACATGGGAGAGCGATTGGGGGAGCGAGTGGGGGAGTAAGAGCGCGACCGCGTGGGACAGTATGGGCGACGACGCCGCTGCGTCCATGGCGGCGTCGGAGCGCGCGCTGCAGGTGGCGCACGCGTCGGCTTCCGACGCGGCGTGGCAGCACATTGCGGGAGGGGCTCTTGCTGTGACGCAGGGAGTGACGGCGCGCATGCAGCAGCGCGGGGGAAACCACGCGCACCAGCAGCAGTACCAGCAGCAATACCAGCAGCAGATCCAGCAGTATCAGCAGAACCCCATCGCCATGCTGCTCGCGCAAGTGGAGGCGGATCGGGAGGCCGTGGCGGTAAGTGGCTAAGCTCTCGTTGTCCCATGGCCCTCATGCGCCGTTCTCGCCACGGCGCCGAGTGCCTGCGCCGGCGCTCTTCCGTCGGGCAGCTGTCTAGACCATCATCTTTCGTTTCTCCTTCGTAGCCTACTTCACGCTGTCTCTTACCCCTTCCCAATCCCACCCCCGCCTCGTTTCTCCTTTCTTCCCGTCGCTCTTCTCCCGTCCCTTCTCCCGCCCTGCTTCATTGTCTTCGCCCCCTTGGCTGGCGTCCCGCACCTGCGCCGTGCACGTGTGGCGCAGACGGTGCGCAGTCTGGCGTCGAGTCCGGGGGTGTTCATGGCGATAGTGAACGACCCCGTGATGCAGGAGTTCATCCGCAGCCGAGGCGGCGTGCACATGCCTGGTGAGCATGCCTGCATACCCGCATGCCTCGTACTGAGTGTACACCAGACGCTGTGCTGTTTCCCCATCGCCTTTCTCCCCAACCCCCGCTCGCCCATCTCCCACCTTCCTTCTCCCCCTCCCACCTCCCCTTTCACCCCTCCTGGGGTTGCTTCTCCCTCTCTACATCTTTTATGCTTCTGTTCTATCTTCCTGAGATTTCTTTTTCCTCCTTCCATGGCACCTAACCTCCTTTCTTACCTGCTCGTCGTCCTTTCCCCCATTGAACCAGGCGTCAACAGCATCACTGAAGTGACAGAGCACCCGGTACCCGGACAGCAGCACCAGCCTCCGCAGTCTGCAATTGATGCGCGTGGAGGTAACACCGGTTCCCTGTGGGAGTACTTGTCGTTCGCGCTGGGTAAGATGCGCTCTGTGGTTGATGCGATCTCAGACCTCCTTGGGACCGCCTTCCTGCCTGCATCGCTCTCATCCTCTTCTGCAGCAGGCAGTACGGGAGGGGTTGCGGATGCTGGTGCTGGTGGTGGGAGCGCCACGGGTGCATCTGGTGGCAGCAGTGCGTCTGGTCTTGCGGGGCTCATGACTGTGGTGGTGAGCCTGGTGGTGGTGGTGGTGCTCGTGGTTATCAAGAACAGAGCCAACCAGTGATGCATCCTGCCATGCCCTCGTCTGACCCACCTGCCTGTTTGAAGCACCACGTGTCATTTGGGCTTTATGTGCCCATGGAGGTTGCAAGTGATGCAGTATACGAAGAGGTTTCACGCATGGATGTACAGGTTGACATCTCTTCCGCCCGGCACCATCGCCTTCCACCATTCCATTCGCCTTCCACCATTCCATTCGCCACCGTCACATCCGCTACCTCTTCACCCATTTTCCACCTTCCGCACTACAACCGCCTGCGCTCTCCACTCCCGCACCACCTTCCCATCAGCCTTGTCTCTCACTGCCAAATCACACCCACCATTTACACCTCTCCGATCGACTGTAGGTCCAAATTTCCATCCCATTCATTGTTCATATGTACTTAACATGCAGTGTATCTTTTTGTGGATGTTTTTGTGCGTTATGCTTTTGAATGAGAATGTGGTGTGTATGTGCTTTTACTCTTGATTGTATGGGGGTGAACATGTAAAACGATGGAACTTGTGCAGTACATTCCAGAAACCTTGTACATTCCAGGTGATGCCCAACCCCTGCTCGCGAAATTGCCTTTCACATTCCAGAAACCTTGCACACGTGGGATTCCTGCCGCGAAGTTGCACCTACGGTACAAGCATGTCGACCAATAGGAAAGCCAGGAACGAAAGTCTGACTCATAAGACTGCAGTCAAAGAGTCAACGGTGAGTTACAAAAAATAAATATAAGCCCTTTTTGCCCGATGCGAGTTGACGAAACCTCAACGAAATGCATGAATCACTTATAGACCCATAGGGAAGGCCGAGGTCAGGGGGCTCAACCGGGCATCATGTGTAACACAGCGATAGATTGCCGTCACATCACCCCACTGGAGTGGACTGTCCAACTTGGACCGTACGATATCGCGTGTGGGGCGTTGTTTTTCGAAGTGCTGAACGTCACGTCAAATTTACAGGTCCGTGGTGTGATTGGCTCGTTTGACTTGTCATGCCTACCATTCCTTTTGTGTACAGTGCTACACAAACGAAATTCTCGCACAACCCGCCTGGACGTGCCCCGATGAAGAAAACATCACGTGCGTTTAGCTGTCATCGTGAACTCCGTTAGCCTTCCGCCGATTGGAGGCACTTTGTTTGTTCCAGTCAGCGAAATGTCGTTGACTCGCTCGGGCAGCCTCGAAACGAATCTATCAGTTTGTTTTCGTTTCCAGTCTGGAATAGCTTTCGCAGAATTCGCTGGAACGTCGCTTGATCGTGACGAACCTCGCCGTCTAGCAAAAGGAAACCCAGTCGCTCTCACGCCGCGGCTCGAATCGCGCATTGGGATGGCCCCCCCAACATTGTGATCAGCCCCGTCAAATCATTCCCGACTCAACCCACCCCCCCATAAATTGTCCCTCTTCCAACACACTTTCCCATCCGCCATATCTTGTGCCTCCTCGGCAAATTACTACTACTACTTCAAGCAGTTCTTGTAGCACTTGCACGAGGGGCACTTAACGGCCCACTCAATTTGTTCCACTCACAGATTGAAGCTTTGCTCGTGGTATCTTTCCTCTCTTCATCCCGCGCACTCAATTGCTTGATAATATTTTACATTGAGACTCCATGGCTTCCAGCTCCTGTGCGGCCTCCATCTCGTCCCCTTCCCTCCCCGCGACAAGCCCGCGTGTTCCGAAAAGTGATCTCGCGCTACGGACACCGCATGTCGGAATCTCGTCATCCGTACTGACAGCAAGGCACAACGCAGCAGCAGTCACCCGTTTCGGAAGCAATACTACTCTTGCTTCGTCAATTTCCAGCATGAATCGCGGCGGCCTGCGACTTGGGCCTACTCGCTGCGAGGCGGCGCCATCCCCGCCGCCAGGAGGGCCGGTGGGAGGTGGAGGCGGAAGCGGTGGAGCGAGCGACAGCCTGAAGCGGGCCGCACGGGAGTTTTTCTCAACGAACCAAGGGCACCACCGCGACCACCACCAGGGGGTGCACTTCCCAGCTAGCAGCAGCACCACGCCGCACAGCGCGGCCACGCCTGCTGCTGCGCCCATGGACAGCCAAGTCGAAGACGCGGTTTCCAGTGCTTATCGCAAGAAGGTCGTGAAAGAGAGTCGCACCTCTCGAGGAACCTCCTCGTCTATTGGGACTCCTACCACCGCTGGTATCACCAGCAGTATTGATTACTTGGTGCGGGATGAGGACCTGGCGTGGTCCGCGCTGATTGGGCGGCTGGCGAACAGCGACGGAGCGAGTGATGGTGACAGCCGGGGGTTGGCAGCAGCCGTGCTGGACGCAGCGGCACTCCTGCCCGAGATTGCAGCACTGCGTGTGGACGCCGCAGCCGTCGACAGGCTGCCTCTCCTCCTCCTTGACAGCGGCGTTGGTGCCGCTGGCATGGCGGGCCCTGCTGCAACCACTGCCGCCGCTACTACAGCCACTGCTGCTGTTGTGAAAGCAGCGCTGGTCAATGGAAAGTCAAGCAAGTCAACCACTGTGGCTTCCAACTCTGTCATCGAGCAGTCGTCCCTCACTAAACTTGAAGCTGCTTCTGCTGGTGACAGCGATGCTGCAGGACGCACCGGTGGGCTGGATGGTAACGACCACAGCAGCAACATCAGCGGCAGCAGCATGCGTCGCGGTCCGGCTTCATCCAGCTCGGCTTCTTCTGCCCCTCTCTCTGCTGTTGCGGCTGATGGCAGCGCTGCTACTGCTGCACCTGCTGCTGCGGCAACGGCAGCTGTGCAGACGAAGCAGCAGCAGCAGGGCGTGGGGGGCGAGCAGCAAGGGGTGGGCATCATTCCATTCCTCAAGGGCAAGAACGTCCTCATCACCGGCGCCACTGGCTTCCTTGCTAAAGGTGCTGCCGCCTCCTACTCTCAATCCAAAAACCTATACACACACACATGCATACATGCACATACAAACACTCATGCTAGATCATCTCCCCCTCCCGCCTTCTCCACTCACCTCCCACCCCCCCACACCCCCTCCTTCCTCCCCTCCCCTCCCCTCCCCTCCCGTCTCTCAGCCCTGGTGGAGAAGATACTGCGAGAGCAGCCAGACGTGGGGCAGCTGTACCTGCTCATCCAGCCGCGGGGGGACACCACCGCGCACCAGCGCCTCGCTTCCCAGGTGCGGCAACAGGCCCTGCACGCTGCTCCTCCCCACCCCTGCACACGCCTCGCAGTTCTAGATGCTCCACTGCACGCCTCCTCACCTGTGTCTAGACGCTCGTTTCTGCCTACCCTTGTTGTTAGTGCCGCAACTGACCCGTGTGGCGTGTGTACCCTTGTGGTGGTGTGCAGGTGATTCCATCGGCCATTTTTGGGCATCTGAAGCAGCGGTACGGCGAGGGCTACGAGGCGTTCATGAGCAGCAAGCTGACGGCGGTGGACGGCAACATAGGCGAGGAGAACCTGGGTCTCAGCGTGGTCACCAGTGCTGCTCTGGCGGATAAAGTGGATCTCATCATCAACTCCGCTGCCACCACTGACTTTGACGCCCGGTATGAGCGAGACCCCACGGACATTTAACCTCAAATTCAGAGTTCCATTGGATTCTTAGGTATTTCTATCATTCTTATGATCTTAGCACACGAGTGTTTGTGTGTGCGGTGCTGGCCATGCCACGTGTGGCAGGTACGACGTGGCACTGAACATCAACACGCTGGGCCCCCGGCGACTGTTGGCCTTCGCCAAGCAGTGCCGCCACCTGCAGCTGCTGCTGCACGTGTCCACTGGTGAGCCTCCGCAACACGCAAGGCATGGGTTATTGTACACATGCTTTCCCTTCTGCTGGCCTATCCACCTGCTACTCTTGGCTGCACCCCTCCTCTTCCTCCTCCAACCACCCCTGCTCCTCCTCTCCCTGCATCCCTCACGTCTTCTATCCATCACCCTCCCCTGCCATGACAGCGTACGTGAACGGCAAGCGCAAGGGGCAGGCCATGGAGCGCCCCTTCGCACCCGGGGACACCATCGCAGCGGAGATGCTCGCACAGGCCGCACACTCCCCTGCTGCCTCTGCTGCGGCTGCTGCAGCAGCAGGCATTCCCGCTCTAGACGTGGACGGGGAGGTGGCGTTTGCGCATAAGGAGCGCGTGGAAGTGGAGGCGGCGGCAGTGGCGAGGGGTGCGGGCAAGGACGAGGTGCTGGCTGCTGTGAATGCACACATGTCCGCCCTGGGCCGCGCCAGGTGGGTGCTGATGAGCACTGCAGGCAAGGCCGGCACATGCCAGCGCGGCACAGGACGGGGCAGCACAGGCCGGGCGAGCGTGATTCACGGGGGCGGCTCGTGAATTTCATGCTGGTCTTATTTCGTGGCTCTCGCGCTTATGACTCTTCGTCCTTGCTCTGTGCGCCTGCTCTTTCCCCCATCAGGGCGCAGGTGTTTGGGTGGCAGGACGCGTACGTGCTGTCCAAGGCCATGGGGGAGATGACACTGGGGGAGCAGCGCGGGGGAGCGCAGGGGGGGGAGGAGGAGGGGGGTGCAGGGGTGGTGCCCGTGGTGGTGGTGCGGCCGAGCATAGTGGAGAGTGCGTTGTGTGAGCCCATGGCAGGGTGGATGGAGGGCATGCGGTGAGTGCATGCACAGCTGTGTCTTGCACCAATCCTCCTTTACTAGGCTTTCTGCCCGTTTCCTGTGTTATTTTTCTCTTCTGCTTTCCAACCTCTTCACACTTGTTCCATGCGTGCTTGGCGTGCCTGCCCTTCCCACCACATGGCAGCATGGCGGACCCCATCCTCATGGCATATGGCAAGGGTGCCATGGCTGGCTTTCTTGCCGATGGAGTGGCTGACATTGTGAGTACTCTTTTTCTGGCTCGCTCGCTCGCTGGTTCACTCCTCCCTCTCCTCCTCACCACCTCTCATGCATGTGTTTTGCTTCCATGTCTCACAGTTCCCGTCACATCTGAGTATTGCTGCACCTGCCTGTTGTTCTTCCTCCACACATGCCCTCAGATCCCAGTGGACTTCGTCGTGAATGCCATCTTGGCCGTCGCTGCCGACAATGCCAAGCTGCCCCCACAGGCACCCCACGGCACCACCATCAGCGCCACCGCCACCACCTCTGCGTCTGCCTCTGGGTACTGCCTGCCTCGTGTGTACCACGTGACAACCTCAGCGGCTAACCCTCTGCATGTGAAGACCATTGCCGATGCTGCCACTGACCATTTTGCTGCCAAGCCCATGAAGCAGAAGGATGGCTCGCCCATTTCTGTCGCTCCGGCTAGGGTCTTCAAATTCCCCATGCTGTTCCTCCTGGACCTCTGGATCCGATACCAGCTCCCCATGCTGGTAATGGCTCACTCTCTTTTCCGGCTTCTCCCCCCCTCGCTGTTCCTCTTGATTTGCCTCCCCATTTCATCTCATAACAATATTTGCACCCTGTTTTGTTTGTAACAATACATTTTTCATTTACTCTTTTGTTATTTTTCTTCTTTTACCGGTGCCTTTGTGGCATGTGCAGCTGATGAAGCTCTTCCCTAAAAAGGGAGCATCAACCGCACGTCGGACTATGATTATGATGAAGACGATTGAGTCACTCATGCACTTTGCCAAGATATACTCACCATACACCTTTTACGAGGCACAGTGAGTCTTTGTTTCCATCGCATTCATGCACAAATCATACCAGCAGAGGATGTAACGTGGCTCCTTGCACGTGCAGGTTTGACTCCAGCAACACTGAAGATCTCTTTGCTAGGATGTCATTGGACGAGCAGCAAAAGTTCAACTTCAATGTGCGCAATATCAACTGGCACAACTACATGTGCAACGTTCACATCCCAGGACTACGCAAGTATGTTCTGAAGGGGAGAGGCTCCAAGGATTTGTAGATGGTTAACCCAAGCCATTATTACCTATGTATCATCTGGCTGTCCACATCAAGTGGTGAAATAGGTGGCAATGTACTTACTGCTTTCATAATTTAGTTCCTTGCATAATTTGTTTCCACAACCTGTGTCAACCCACACATTTATCCATGTTGAAAACGATACGAACATGTAGCCTCGTTTCCATAAACCGCTTCGCTGCCTACGATGTCGGGCCAATCTTGCCCGTGCCCTCTTCGTCCACTGGAGCATTGCCTTGTCATCCATCCAGAGTTGATGGGTTTGCTGAGGGGCTGACCGTGAAACCCAATTGCCCGTCCAACCCGATGTTTTCGCCCGTCATTTACTGATATCTTGACGGCGAACGAGGTTTCCGCTACAACGATTGGCGGACGGCCAAAGTGCACTTTTTTCCCCAGCGCATTCGCACCAACCAGAGCAGTTCGCTGCTTCTGTCCGCCATGACAACCGCAAGGATATGTGTGCCAAAGTTTTCCCAGGGAACCATCAGCACCTCACCATCATCCCTAGGTGCGTCCCCTGCCCTCATTGCAAGCTCTCACCCCATCTTTATCCCAAGGTCCTCTGAAGTTCTGGTTACTTCAAGGGACCCTAGGCGAAGCTCGTCCCTCGCCCTAGCTGATTCACTTTGAGAGTTCCACCTCACCGTGGTGGGTGGATATCCCCAGCTATTTTCAGAGAGAATCTATTCCCTTTCAGGAGTCGCACGATTTTCGGGAGACTGGCCCGAACCCGAACCCTCATCCTCGCGAGCACCAGTCCCTTCTTTCACCGCTCCGTGCGTCACGGTCCCGCCGACACAGTAGCCTTGCGAAGGCTCACACTAATCTTATTGCTCGCCGCCTCCTCGTCGGTATTCTCACCGTGTCTGGGAACCTGTGCCTAAGCCTCCCTGCTGAAGCGTTTATACTATTGCGCGAGGAAGGAAGACCCACCTGAAATTCAGCAACCGCCGACGTACACGAGTCCCGAAGGAATTAGGCATTACTTCCAGCGTATGCGTGTTACGACGTCCCTATCACGTCGAAATGGGTCTCTCTGCGGCGGAATGATAGGACTATCCACTCTACTTTAGAGGATTCCTCTATCCAAGCTCTGTTCGTCTGATTCGAGCTTTCAGGAGATTCAAATAATCAGGTATGATGCTTGCCGAGCCTACAAAACACGGAGGGCCTGGATAGCGAGTCTCATTGGCAATGCCGCGTGTCCGTCGTGTGTCCGTCGGGTGTTAGTCGTGTGGCCAGACCTCATTCTAGTGGTTCCACTCTCGCATTTTTTTTTCGTTCGTAAGGGATACCATACCGTGCTCCCTCCGCTGCCGCATCCGGTCGCCATTCTGAGTGCTCTCCTCCGGTTTTGTTTTATGTTCGGCATTCGTTGGCTCCACGTGCCCTGGCCAGGTCTCAGACCAGTCTCACCGCGTCTCCCCTCGCCTGTTCTGATCACAGGGCTCACAGCAGCAGCTGCGATTCAACAGTGCGCGGGCCGTGCTCCTCACCTCGCCTCCTCTGGCTGCTTCCGTCCTGTCGGTTGAGGAACGCCTACGAAGGAGGGGAGAGGGACTTGACGGTCACCGGAAATGGAAGGAAAAGCACGCTCGCTGTTGAGGGAGAGAAGGGCGCCTGAACTAGACTTTGACAAAAGGTGAGCCTGCGATTTGGTCCTCCTTAGCGTTCCTCCTCATCTGCGAGTCCAATCGTGGTTGTTAGAGTGTGTTCCCGCATGCCTGCACACGTCCTCGTGTGTGCGTGCTTTCTTCAAACTGACTCATGCCCTGTCATGCATCCGCAGATACGCGCAATCCTGCTCATCGTTCGGTATCAGCCCACCGCCCGACATCCTCAGCGCTCTGGCGTCAGTAAGTCCCACTTACCCCGCCTATTCATCGCCTCATCCTGATTCTCTCCAACTGGCTTCCTTCCTGCCACATTCCCCATTCTTAACCACCCCCTTTTCAATCGTGGTTCCGTGAACTCCTCCCTGATTCCCGTCTCACCATTCCGCCTACCGTCCAGCCCTCGCACCGCATATCTGAGGACGGGTCGCCGCAGTTAGCGGTAGAGCTGCCTCTCGCGCACCTGTCGGACGCGGTCGCGGTGACGCTGGGCGAGTTCCTGGCGACGGCGTGTCCAGAGCTGCATATCGTGGACGTCAGCAGCGCAGACGCGGTACCCACCGTGAGCGGCCACGGCATTCTCTTCCTGCTGCGCGCCGTGGGACCGCACCTGCAGCACGCCAACCTCTCCAACATCCCGCTCGGCCGCGAGGCCTTGAGGTGCGACGCACCAGCCTTAACCTGCGCGCACGTACGTTTGTCGTTCGCAACTGCAGCACCACGCGTCTCGACGCATTGGAAGTTTTGACCCTCGCAGCGTGTAGCCCTTGAATAGCCACTGCTTCCTTCCGCCGCCCACCCTCCCCACTCGCCCCGCAGAGATCTGTTCCAGCGCGGGCTGAACGCGCGCAGCCTGTGCTTCTCCTTCTGCCGCGTGCGCAAGCTCGACTTCGTGGGCGCGTTCCCGCGCCTGCGCTCCCTCGTGCTGGACCACAACCCCGCCATCACGTGCCTCCCCGACGGCTGCTTCTCCAACGCGCCGTCGCTCACGTCGCTCTCGCTCTGCGCCACGGGCATCTCGAACCTCTGGACCACTGTCGCCGCGCTAGCCAAGCTCCCCCTCTTGACGCGGCTCCGCTTTCAGGGGTGCATGTGCTGCCGCGGCGACACGTCCGCGTGCGCGGAGCTTGCAGCGGGGCTGGCTGGCGATGCCGCGGACGCGGACGAGGGCGCGCGGAGGGAGGTGGCGAGAGCAAATGCTGGTGATGGTGGTGCTGATTATGCTGGTGCTGGTGTTGGTCAACGGGATGAGGACGTGGTGGAAATACGGGCGTGGTTGGGCGAGGAAGAGGGGAACCTGGAGAACTTGGTGCGGGAGGGCATGGAGATGGATGAGGTCATGCGCGAGTGGGAAGCGCAGGGGCAGGCTGAGGGCGCTCTAGATGCTGCGCTGGACTTGGCTGAGCAAGTAGGCATGGGGTTCGGTGGCCCGGGGGATGAAGAGCTCGGTATGGTTGGCGATGAGGACTTGAGGGGCGCGCAGGGCGAGGAGGAGGAGGAGGAGGAGGAGGAGGAGGAGGAGGAGGAGGAGGAGGAGGAGGAGGAGGAGGAGGAGGAGGAGGAGGAGGAGGAGGAGGAGGAGGAGGAGGAGGAGGAGATGTTTGACGGGAATGCGAGTGATGAGCGTCCAGAGGAAGAGGAGGAGAGCGACGAGGACGAGGAAGAGAGAGAACGCAGGGATGGTGAGTTTCGCCACGTGGGCATGCCATGGCAGCAGGTTCTGTCTCGTGAAGCGAGGGGACTGAGGCAGGGAGGTGGAGAGCAGCAGGACGCAGCAGAAGCAACAACCGCGGGGAATAATGGCGGTGCAACAGGCGCGGGAGCTGAGGGTCTTGGCCCCAGAGCAGTCCCTCTGGGCCCATCACCGCGCATGCGTCCCGGTCGCCTTCACCAGCATCAACCTCTGTTTCGGCCCATTCCTGCTGTCCGCACTGCTGCTGCTGTGCCAGGTACAGGGGCCGCACAGGGCACGGGTCTGTTGGCCGAGCAACGGGGGGTGCTAACAGCAGCGGCACACGGAGCAGGGGAACAGACAGCAGGGACAGCAGCAACTGCCAGCGCGGACCCAGCAGGTCTGGGTGGGGCTGGAGGAGGTATGGCTGGAGGGCTCACGGCACGAGAACTGGACTTGATAAGCTATCTTATGGGGGATGCACCCAGGCGTCTCCGGGGCAGGGAAACTGGTGCTAATGCTACCAACGATCAACGCGCCGATGCTGCTCGTGCTGCTCGTGCTGTTCGTGCTAGCGCTGCCGGTGATGGTGGCGCTGCACGCCGTGACTACCATGCCTTGGAAGGCCCGTACGCCGCAGCGTCCAATTTCCTGCACCACTCGTCGCCCATCTGCCATGTGCCGCACTACCGTGCGTTTGTGCTGTCGTCCCTGCCGCATTTGGACGTTCTAGATAACATGGCGGTGAGGGAAGGCGAGCGCGCACAGGCGGAGGGCGAGTGCGAGAGCAGCTTTGAGCCGCTGCCGTACGGGCTGGGCAGCATTGGTAACGTCGTGCACCTGCTGATACGCAGAGAGATCCGCGCCCCGCTCAGAGCTCTCGCCTCTGTTGCTGCCCGCCCACTTCCCAGCCAGCAAAGCGTTTCCAAGGAAAAATTGCCTCCTGTTGGTGCTGTAACTGGTACTGCTGTTGCTGGTGGTGGGGCTGTTGCTGGTGGTGCTGCTGTTGCTGCTTCTGCTGCCGCCACACCCGTCATTGCGTCTTACACAGCATCTTCTGACTGCGTGACTGGCAGCAGTGGCAGGCCTGCGGGAGGCGCAGCAACGGAGGAGCTGGTGGGGGGACAGCAACGGCAGCAAGACAGGGTCGCGGGCGTATTGGGCAGTGGGAGCGGGGATGGTGCTGACAGCCAAAGAGTGGGGCAGACCGACATGGAGTATTCGTCGCATGATAGCGAGGGTGACGAAAATGGTGATGGCGATGATGGTGACGAGGATGGCGGTGGTGCAGGGAGAGGCAATGCGCGGTGTTGTGGGAAGGGCAAAGCACCTGTGGAGGAGCAGGACCCAGGTTAGTTGACCCCTCTTGAACTGCTCTTGGGACTCCTCTTGTATTGCCCTCGGACTCCTCTTGAACCGTTTCTTGAAAACCATCCTCCTCACGTGCTTTCCCATTCTCTGCGCCCTGTTCCTCCACCCTGCTCTACCAGAATCCGCCTCTGCACGTCTGTGGCGTGCTACAGCCGGAGCCAAGGGCGGCAGTGTGGAGGGCTACAGGCGCGCTCTAGGAGCCAACCGAGTGGGCTGTAGCAGCTGGCCCGCCAGCCGCCCCATGACCTGCCCTCTGCGCAACGCAGGGCTGGACGCTCCCAGAACGATGTGAGCTGTGAAATGGGCACACGTTGAGGGGAGGTGCGGTGACGGGACGGTGGGAGGGACGCATACAGGGAGAATTGGAATGCGTATGAAATGGTGGATATTCTTGGCAAGTCTTCTCTTTGTTGAATCGATTGGTCTCGCAATCTCTTTGCACATATACACTATTCACAAATGTTCACCCATCTGCATTACCCATTCTCAGTCGTCTTCCAGTTCCAACCATTCTCCTCATCATCTGCCCCTCCCATTCACCGCGCACCTCCCACGTCAACCGCTCTTTCCTCCCCACTCTGCCTTCCCCGCATGCCCCATGTCGCTCCCACCAGGTCGTCGAGCCTGCGGCCACGGCAGTTTGAGTACCATCCAACGGAGGCGCATCTGATGGTGTTTGGCACGCTGCACGGGGATGTGGTGGTACTCAACCACGAGTCAGACCGCCTCGTGGGCCACGTGCAGTCCGTTGGTGCCCCACACTCCATTCTTGGCCTCTGCTGGCTCAACAAACATCCCAACAGGGTGCGCCCTCTCCTGCCCGCCCTGCTGCTCCTGCTGCTCGCCTTGCTGCTGTTGGCTGTGTTTTTGTGCTCCGTGCCTTTGCAATGGTTTGGAAGTGGCCATGTTTTCGCTGCTAAGTACTCACTCATTCTTCTCCCCTCCTCCGTGCCCCTCACCCGCCCTACCCCACTCTCCTCCCTCCAACTCCTCTTTCCACCTGCCTGTCTCCTCTCCCTGTGCCTCTCCTCTCCATGTGTATGAGCGGGATGCAGCTAATAGGCGGGTGTGACAACGGGTCCATCCAGCTGTACGACGTGGAGCGCATGCGCGCCTGTCTCGTCGCTGCCATCGGCCGCTCCGCTGCCGCCGCAGCCAGCACCAGCGGCGCCAGCAGCAGCGGCACAGGCAGCAGCGATGGCAGCAGCGTGGGTGGCGGCAGTGCAAGTGCACTGACTGGCAGTGGCGGGCGAGGTGCCACCACAGCAGCAGCAGCAGCAGCAGCGGCAGTAGCACCGGCGGACTTGACCACCCCTCCGGCTGTGCTGGCAGCGCCAGCAGCAGGTGCAGGACGCACAGGAGGTCTGGTGTCAGACAGTCCGCTTGGCCTTGGTGGTTCTGCAAGTGGAAGCTCTCCTGTGACTCCTGGACGGTTGCGGCACCCTGCCATCCACACATATGATGAGTTTGAGCAGCTCACGTCCGTGCATGTCAACTGCACTGATGACCTCTTCCTCGCCAGCGGGTACGTGTTTCTATACTGTGATGCTGCCACGCTTCCCGTACCCTCCCTCTCCCCTTCCTTGTTACTGCCTTGGTAAGCGTACACATTCCCAAGCTTCGTTTGCAAGACCATCCCTCCCACTCCATCCCTACTCCTCCCCGCCTCACCATCAAACCCCCCGCCCCCTCCGTGTCTCCATTTCTCACTTTCTTCCCTGGTTGCCAGGTACTCGAACCACGTGGGGCTGTACGACCTGCACACGGGGCGGCGGCTGCACACGCTGCACAACCTGCACCGCGAGCACATCAACGTGCTCAAGTTTGCCCACCACTCGCCGCACGTCTTCGCCACCTCCTCATTCGACCGCCACGTCAAGCTCTGGGACGCACGTCAGCGCATCTCGTCCTCGTCTGGGGGCGGGTTCGGGGGGCTGTTTGCGCAGGGGCGGGAGAGCGTGCGGCCGATTTACTCTGTGCGCAGTGACCGTGGCAATGTGATGGTGTGCTTCAGCCCTGACGATCAGTTCCTGCTGTCCTCTGCTGTTGACAATGAGGTGAGCGGCGCGCATGGACATGACAATGGATGACAGTTTGCTCTGTTCTGTTAATACAAAGCCCCTTAATATCAGCCCGGACTTTCTTTCGCAGCACACTCTCCCCAACTGTCCCTCACCCTCCCTCCCTTCCCCTCCCTCCAACTCCTTCATTCTCTTACCAGGTGCGGCAGCACATAGCAGTGGATGGTCGGCTGCAGCAGCGGTTTGAGATAGCGGCGCTGGGCAGTGCGCACAACTACACGCGGTCCTACTACATGAACGGGCGTGACTACATTGTATCAGGCAGCTGCGAGGAGAACGTGGTGCGCATCTGCTGCGCTAAAACCGGTCGCCGCCTCCGCGACATCCCCCTGGAGGTGAGGGGGGCTGGGGCCGGGAACGGGGGTGTGCTGTGGGGATAATGGGGTTGCGTATGCTGGTTGTGCTGGTGGATTGTGCTGGTCTGGTGTGGCAGGCTACACTTGGGTGCATCACAAGTGTTTGCACTCTTCCATCACCCCACTCTTCCGCACCTCTCTCATCGCCATCCCCACTCCGTTTCCACTTCTGCCATTGCCCCTTGTCGCTTATGTGTGTCAGGGCAAGGGCGGCAAGAGCTCCCTCTACGTGCAATCTCTGCGAGGAGACCCCTTCAGGGTACGACTCTTACTCCCATGCCCCTGTGACCCTTTACCCCCTGCAATCTGCTCTGCATTAGCTGCCACATGTCACACTCCCTCATTTCAACAAACCATCCTGCTCCAACACAGCACACGCCCTACTACTCACCCATGTCACCCTCCACCTTTCTGAAGCCTTGCTTCTACCCTTAGTGTGGTGAATCACTGGTCTCGCCTGCACTGCCCTGGTCAATCTTCTGTGAGAACGTTTGCAATCACAGCACTTCCATTCATTGCGCTTCACTCCCCCCCTTGTTGCTGCACGCAGGACTTCCATCTGTCGGTGCTCGTGGCCTACAGCCAGCCCAACTCCCCCTCAGACATTGTCAAGGTGCGCCCCTGCCCTTGCGCCCCTTGCCCTGCTTCTGTATGCATGCCATATGCTCCTTGGTCGGCCAGCGCGCACATTCTTTGCTCATACATGTCCGTGTTCTCCCATCTCTTCCCTGCTTCTCTTTGCTGTGTGCAGGTGAATCTAGTGGCGGGTCCTCCGCACCGAAAGGGCCTAGACAATGACTTTCAGACTCAGCCGTTGGCGTCAGTGGGTGCGTAGACTCTGCGTTTGGCTGCAATTGCTATGTATGGCATGCCTTGCTGCCTTGTATCATGCTCCTAGCGGCTGTCTTGTTCCCACGTGGGATGGTGGATACATTGAGGGAAACAACTGACACTTTCTGGGATGGCATGTTGGGGGTTAAGGGATGGATGGTTGGGTGAAATAGACGATGCAGCTGGGGCTGGGTCTTGGCGAGTGACTAGGCTCCTGTTCGCGAGAGGACGTTGGAGGGATGGATGGATGAGTGCTCCTTTGGATTTTGGAAGGTGGGAAGAGGCACTGTATATGATGGCGATTATGCTGGATGATGCATTTTCGATACTTCTATACTTCTGTGTACACCAGCAGAGCAAGGCTCTGTAAGAACTCCTGTAATCGAAATATTAAATTGTAATAGGAGTTTAGCAATTAGGTACACTACGATGTCTTGATCCACTGCAAATTTGCCATCGCCTCAGCGTGTGTTGAAGGCGTCGGATCGCGTCACGGGCCGTCAACAAAAGCGCGTCTCGATCAACCGACCAAGGGAGAGAATTCGTGCGACAAACGACCACCTGCGAAACAGTCTGGCCAGAAGCACAGGTGACCTGAAGCATAGTTACTTTCCAGGCAAAAACAGCTTTATCGCACATCGCCTGTGTCGCAGCCAGTGGGCTCCAATATTAGTGGTGTGTTTGTGCGATCGCTTGCGACACGGAGAGCCGCAGGTGAAACGGGAGATGAATGCGCACCACACCATGTTTTCACGGGCAGCGCCAGTGGCGCCGATTTGGTGACCACAGCGATGAAGTTCCGCTCTTCTGGTTCATTTCGCTTCTCTCCTATCCACCATCCACCCTGCTGGGGCAAAATATTCTTCCAGCTCCACCGTCACCAAGCACTACCCACCCTCGCCTCCCACCCAACTACCCACTCGCCAACGCACTCTCCTCCAAGCCCCAACCAACCCAGCCAGCATTCGGCACTCCACCTTTCCGTCCCATTCCTTTCCCTGCCCGCTCCAACTCGCCCCACCTGCCTCGTCCTCCCATCTGGCTGGAGTGGGGCTATTTTCCAACATCCCCCACCCGTGACCTCCCCCAAATGCTTACCCGACCCGCATTGCTCGGCTCTTACTGTACCCATCTTAGTCACAACACAACGCCACCCTCGATTTTCGACGATCGATCGCAGGATCGGCGTTCAGGTGACGCGTCCTCAGCTTCTGCCGCCGACTACCGACGCGGCTGGCACTCCTTGCTCTGCCTGCGTGCCTCACGCCACCGTTGATCAAAACCACGAACGAGAACATCCGCTCCTCGCCTCCCCTCGCCACGCCTGCCAAGCAGCATACTACCCCGCGTGAATCCTGCTGGCCTATTTATATCCGTTGTGCTTGCGGTGATCCTGAACTTGCTCGTATCGCATGTCTGTGCTTCAGTGCTCTTAACGCAACCTCGAACACCTAGTGTCCGTGATATCGAGTCCAGCCCTCATTGCGAATCCACTCGCGTCTCTTCGCATTCGACGCGTTCGTCCTCACGTCGTTTCCCCTGCCGTGCGTGCCGCCCACCTCCTATCGCGTATGCCCTCTCGCCGCGCTCGCTAGTGCGTCGGTACCATGCCCGCTCGAGATACCATCGCGATGCCGCTTAGCCTCGTCACTCCTCCCCGTTGGCCCCACACGAGTAGTAGGTCAAGATTCTAGTGTGCGCACTCGGCTAGCTAGCTTTTACTAAAGCCGCGTGACAGTCGCATAAGGCAACAGACAGCCTCACGCCAGTGAGGACTACAGGGCGCTGTTGCACCCACCCCCTTAGAGCGCCGCTGCGTATCTTCTCGACGCCTGTGAATCCACCCTTTCTCCCTCCTTCCTTCCTTCCCTCCCTCCCCTCGGAAGCAACAGCATTGCTGTGGCCGTTAGTAGTACCACGGAACGATCCCGATATAGCGTGTCGCGCGGGTGTATCTTTAGTGATAGACAGCTCGACGCCGCAATGCCGCGGAAGCAGCGTTCGTGCACTCTTCCCACGGAGCGCGTGTCCCCCGCCGCCGCCAGCGCGAAGCTGACGATGCGTCTCGAGTGCACTCAAAAGTCGTCGCCGCAGGTCGGCAGAGCGCGATTGCCGTCCGTCGCCGCCATCGCGAGGCATCAGCGCGCCTCGACGTGCCTCCTGCTGCTCCTCGCCCTCCTCCACGCCCCCGCCTTTGCTGCTTCCTGTACGTACTCTCTCGACGCGCGGAATGCAAACATATTTCTGGATCGACTTTGAAGGAGCTCAAACTCCAGGCACGCACATAATCGGAATCCACAATTTTGGGAAACTTGACGCCATGCCTCACGGATTCCGACCCTTCCCCACACCCCGCCTTTCGTCCCTTCGACATTTTTTCCCTTCCTCACCCCGCTCCTCGCGGTTCAAGCATCCAAGCACCCGCTGCTTCTCAACGGGGACTTCGATCTCCCCGAGTCCACGGCGGTCAACGGCAGCGCAAAGCTCGCGAGCGCAATGAGCGCGGTCCGCGGGGCAATTGGCGCAGTGGCGCGGCGAATAGCGGGGTGGGACGTGGTGGGGACGCGCATCAAGCTGCAGTCGCTTATGCCGGGAAACCCGGGGCAAGGGCAGGTCGCGTCACTACCGCGACAATACCTCCTCATCCCCTCAGGTAGCCTCCCAAGGTCCCTACCCTCGCCACACCTGTCCTCCCACTGTTCCCGCATTGCCCCCGCGCTTCCCCTCCACTGCCTCCGCACTGCTTCCATACTGTCCCCATACTGTCCCCGCATCTTTGCTTCCCCACGCCTACTGCTGCCCTCCACTTCCCCTCATTTCCCCTCCCTTGCCTTATCCCCCTCACCTCACTTTCCCCTTCCGCGCTCCCCTCCCCTCCCCTTTCCCCCCTTTCCCCGCAGTTCCCGCGCAAGCGGTGTCCCAGACCTTCCCCACGCGCGCGGGGTGCGTGTACGAAGGGTCGTTCGCCATCCGCTCGCACCACGTGGACGGCTGGCCCGCTGCCGTCATGCTGTCCGTGACTGACGTGGCGTCGAGTCAGCAGCTGCACTTCGATGTGCTGCATGAGAAGATGGTGAGAGGGAACGCGAAGAGGAGGGAAAGTGAGGGAGGAGGGAGAATGAGAGGCGAGGCTGGATGGTACGCGATGAGGAGGAGGCAGGAGAGCAGAGTGAGAGTGCGAAACGAACGAGGCGAGCGAGCGAGGCACATGAAATGTAGCATGCCACTCAATGTCCCTCATCCCCCACCCTTCTCTCCTCCCTCCACCTCCCCCTCACCTTCCCCTGACCTGCCTCCCGCCTTTCTCCCTTCTCACTATGCGCCATGGCAGACCCAGGAGTGGACGGAGAAGCGATTCACGTTCATAGCAGCGGGGAAGCGCGCCGAGCTCACCTTTGGCTCCGTGCCCGCCCAGGGGGGGCGCGCTTCCAGTGGTGACGTCGGTGCTGCCATCGACGACGTCACTCTCTCCATGCCCACCTGCTACGCGTATGTGCCGCACGTCACAGAGCTGACTTTTGAGTCGACTTAAAAGTCAGCTCGCGTATGTGCCGCACATCACAGATGGACGGAACCCTTCCCACATGTCACCCCCTCTCCCCCTCACACACAATCACTCTCACTCACCCAGATGCCAACACTCACACTCTCACAGAAACCCACCACGGTGCGTTGCGTTGCCACACTGCCCCCCCATGCCACTGTGTCCCCAGGGCTAGCGCACAGAGCACGGAGCAGCGGCTGCTGGTGGAGGAGCAGGAGAGCGCAGCACTGCAGGCACAGGAGGAGGCGGAAGCATGGGCGGCGGAGGAGGCGCGCGAGCATATGAGGAGCGCCCGGGACGCTGTTGCCCACATGCACTCTGCTGTCTCCGCCACCCTCGCTGCTGCTGCCGCCGCCGCTGCCGATGCTCGTGCTGGTGCTGGTGGGGCTGGTGATAAGGCTGGAGCGGGGAATGCAGCGGGAGGGGGGGATGGGGGAGTGAAGCACGAGAATGAGCCACCCGTTGGGTCACACGTGCATGGGCGGGGGCTGCTGGGATCCTCAGGCAGCAGTCAGCAGCAGCACAAGCCCCCGCCGGCCCCTCACACACCACAGCACCACAGCCCACCAACCCCTGCAACTAAATCACCATCCGCGCTCTTTCCTTCCCCAGTCCCCCTGGCAACGCGAAAGCCAGCTGCCACCACTGCTGCTACCGCCCCGCCGTCCCTGCCCCCGCCACCGCCCCCTCCCCCTGGCCCATGGTACGGGCTGTTCAGCGCGGGCAAGGCGCTGAGCACGATTCTGGTGCCCATGGGGGCGCGCAACGTGAAGGTCAGCGGTAACTCCGTGAATATAACGTCGGATAGTGGCAACAGCAGCGCCACCATCACCAAAGGTGCGTGTGCATTGTGCATCCCATGGGGGTTGGTGGTTCAATGTGTGTGCGTGCGTGCATTTCTTGTAAAAGGCATGGTGCTGGGCCGGCCCATTGCGGCCAGGCCAGTGATAGCTTGTGCCTCCCTCCCTACTCGTCCCTCCGCCTCTCCCCGAATTTCCCTGTGTTCATTCATTCATTCATTCATCCATCCATCCATGAATCTTCACGGCCATCTCCCTGGCAGGGTCGCGGTGGCAGTCCCTGAGCAAGTACTCATCGGGGGTGTTTCAAGCGCGCATGACGTGCCCTGCCAACGACACCACTGGCCTCCTCTTCTCCTTCTTCGTGCGTTCCCCCTCCCTGCCCTCCCTGCCCTCCCTGCCCTCCCTGCCCTCCCTTGCCCCTCTCCTCCCTTGTCGGCCCCGGTTCTCCCATGTATCTCTTTCGTTGCCCCTCCTTATCCTGCCCCCACCATACCACCCATTTCCGCACCCCAGTCCCTCTCTCTCCTCGACCAACCCACCACAACCTTTCACCATTTTCAATCGATCCCTCCTTCCCCGTGCTTCCTCTGCTGCACCTCCCGACTCACGTTACCCCTGCCGCCTCTCCCCCTGCATTTCTCCCTCCCCCTTTCCCCGTTTCCCCCAGCTGAGCACAATGGCAGGGGAGGGCAACCACAGCGGGGTGAGCTTTGACTTCCCCGGGGCCAACAAGACGCAGCTGTACGCCACGCACCACATCAATGGCCGTGCCTACCCCATAACCGTGCCTCTCAACTTCTCCTGTGATTCACAGCCGCACCTCTACACCATATACTGGGACGCCAAGTACACTGCGTGAGTGCGCCTCTGTGCATCTACACCGTGCAGGGATGAGAGCTGGCTTGTGGCGGTTGTGCACTTGCTTGTGGGGAAGCATGATGGCAGGGTGGGTGTGAGGTGCAAAGCACCTCACATCAAATCCATCCCCTCTCTCCCCAACCACCTGCTTCTCTCAGGCTATGCGCCACTAGCCTTGCGCCACGCCCTTCACATGCCCATCTTTACCCACTCCCACTTCTGACCCCCCCACCCCCCCACACCAGGTGGTACGTGGATCAGGTGTTGGTGCGGCTGCTGCAGTTCCGTCCCAAGCGCTCCTACCCCACACAGCCCATGTACCTGTACGGCACACTGCGCCCTGCTGCCGCCACCAACATGGCCAAGCGCGCTGGCGTCGCCAAGGGCAACTACACCAACCTCGCCCAGTGGACAGGTGTGTGTGTGCGTGTGTGCATGCGTGCGTGCGTGCGTGCGTGTGTGTGTGTGTGTGTGTGTGTGTGTGTGTGTGTGTTCCTGTCTCCCACACCCACCTTTCTTCCTCCTCTTTCCCTCCCACCTCTCCCCCTTCCCACCCTTCTTCCTCTCTCCACACCCCCTTTCTCTCCCCACCTTCTCCCTACCCCCCCACACCGCCTCCCCCCTTCCCCCAGGCATCACAGTGATCGGTCCCCTGATGGCGCAAGTCGGCCCAGCGCCCCCCAAGAAGCCCCCGGCAGCGGTGCAGTGGCCGCGCACGAACGGCAGCATCATGGCGCCGCTGATGGTGGACTACTGCGACGACCACTGCCTCTCCTGCGCCAACAGCACTGACGGCTCCGCCACCATCCGCTACGACAACCGCTGTGGTGAGCCCACCCCAACGCTGCTGCTGCTAGAGTGGGGGCTTGGGTGGTGGGTTCAACGGCTGATGGCCCCTCTGCGGTATCGATGCATCATGCATGTGCAATCTTGTGGGGAGCATGGGAATTGAGAGGGTGTGGGAGTGAGGGAGCAAGAGGAATGAGTGTCTAATGCTGTGGGTGCGCATTGTCTTCCATGGTGCAATGGTGCGTGGTACATGGCAGGGTCTCGCTTCCGGTCATCGCTGCCCTACTACTTTGCGTTCATCAGTGGCGACGTGCGCTGTGCCCCGGGGCTCACCAGCGGCATCGTCACCAGCTTCTATGTGCGTGCCCTGCTCACCCACCCCTTAGAATGCCCATAGCAGTGAGAAGAGTGCTCATGTGCTTATGTGGTTCCTCCTTGGAGAGCATAGTGAGCACTTGCACCATGCTGCCTGCCATGCCGCCTGCCATGTCGCCTGAGTTCCTCTGTCACTCCACCGCACTTGTGAGTGCGTGCAGATGTCATCGCTGGAGGGCAGTGGCATACAGGACGAGATAGACTTCGAGTGGCTGGGCAAGAACAAGTCGATCGTGCAGACCAACTTCTACGTGGGCGGGGTGGGCGGGCGGGAGAAGATCGTGGACCTGGGCTTTGACTGCTCACAGGCCTTCCATAACTACGCCATCCTCTGGACGCCCTCGCAGCTCGTGTACGTCCCTGCCTTGCCATGCCACGCCATGCCATGCCCTGTACAGCCCCTTGTGTGTAGCGGGCCTCTTGTTTGAAGAAGTGTTTTGAGACGTCTCAAAACACTTCTTCATGCCATGCCCTGTACAGCCCCTTGTGTGTAGCGGGCCTCTTTCGTGTGACTTTTGAGTCGACTCAAAAGTCACTTGTGTGTAGCAGGCCTCTTTCGTGTGGCCCCTCACGGCTCGCAGTGGCCCCTCGTTCTGAACGCCCTTGCAACTTGTGTGCCTGCATGGCCGTGTGCTGCTGCCACATGCTGCATTGCACCTCTCCATGGCCTCTCAATGAAGTCCCTGCCCCCACATCTACACAATGCATGCACTGCTTACCTGCACTGCACTACTGACACCTCCCCTGTTCCTGCGCCCTTCCCCGCCCCTGCCGTTCCCTCCCGCTTCTCCCATTCCCTCCCCTCTTTCCCCGCCTCTTCCTGTCTGCCGTATGCCCTCCCACCATGCACCACACCAGCTGGTTCATAGACTACAAGGCAGTGCGTGTCGAGTACAACGCCTCCTCCGTTCTCCCCCCCGCCAAGCGCAGCAAGCCGGGCGCACCCGTGCCGTCCAAAGCATACCCCTCCAAGCCGGCCTTCTTTTACGCCAGCATGTGGGATGCCAGCAGTGCGGGCAACGGGTGGTGGGCGGGCAATAGAAGTGCGTCCACTGTGAACAACCCCAACTGGGCCATCTTTGCCCGGTATAAGAACCTGCGAGTGCTCTCGCCTGTGTTGTCGCGATGAGTTGACGGCACATGGACTGTGGCTGGTGTTGCAGCTAGTTGGGTACCTTTGGTTTGATTGACAGGTTGGTGTTTGTTCTGGTCTGGACCCAGCCGTGTATGGCTTATGCGTGTCTGTTGTATCATGTATCATCTGCCATGATGTGTAATTATTTTGTTCATAAAAAAACATTTCCACCAACATGTGTCATCTTTGGACCATGTCTTTGTTGATCCTCTACCTTAAATGTAAGCACTGATGTCACTTTTCCTAAACGAGTATATGATACACACGTTTTTGTTGGAGGTTACCTTAGTATTAATGGAACGGCTATGTATGTATTCACGTGTGTTTATTGAAAGGGACTAATAACTGAGAAACGCCATCGGACCTTACCGCGGACATACGGCCAAAGCTCGGATCCTTTTTTTTCCGCACGGCACATTCGTTCCCGCCATTCTGTTCCCAGCAACCCAAGAGCGCTGGGACGTACCACGCACTGCACGCTTCCTCTTCGCACTCTTGTTCCGCCCTTCTCAGTTCCGCTCCGCTTCCCCCATGACTGCCAAAGCGCGCTCTGCGGCGCACTCCCCCCCCTGCCCCGTCTTCGCCAGCAGCACGCTCGAATGGACTCCGCTCGGCCGCTTCCACCGCTTCCTCGGCGCCGCCTCCCTCCCCCGCCGCATTCAGCGCTTGCGCCGCCGGCGCCACCCTGCTGCGCGCAAGGTGCTCGGCGCAAGCCGACAACGGCGCATTCCGCCCTCCTTGTCAGCTGCCGCGCGGGGAGACAACCTCCTACCCGGAGGCGCTCTGCCATCGGCGGATGATCCACAGGCGCCGCAGCAGGAGCATGAGCAGCGGCGGAGGCGCAGCGATGGGCGGCGAGTGCGGTTCGATTTGGGCGACAATGACGACGATGAAGCTAGGAAAGAGACGAACGCTGGCGACAGCAGCAGCCGGCAGCGGTTCGGGTTGGAGCGCGGCGGGCATCCGTTGGGCGTGCAACCCCTAGGGAACCTCTTCCTGCGCTCCGACCATAACCCCCTTAAACCCCTCCGCAACGCGCGCGACGCGGGGCTCGGCGCACTGCGGCGCCTGCCGGACCCAATCCTGCTGGACATCGTGGGGCGGCTGCCCGCCGAGTCGCTGTGCCACGTGGGCATGGCGAGCCGCGCGCTGCACGTCGTGGCGCACCAGGAGGAGCTGTGGCGCGCGCTGGTGCTGGAATCCGCGGAAGGCGGGTTCGAATGGGAGGCGAGCTGGCGGTGGACTTACGTGAAATGGCGCATGGGCGCACGGGCGCAGGCGGAGGGAGAGGGGGAGGGGAAGGGAGGGGAAGCAAGCAGGGAAGGGAAGGGCGTGAAACGGAAGGAGAAGCATGGGGAGGAGCGCGGGGTGTTGCAGTACCGACCGCCATTGAAGGTGCGCCTCGCTGACCAGAACCTGATTCTCTTCCACCCACCAAACCACCCCCGTTTTCTACCTTCAGTCCAAGACAGAGTTCTGTCACATTCACTGCAAAACCCAGAGCCTCTGTCATTGCCCTCGTACCCTCTCCGTCCACCTCCATTTTCCCCCGTGATCCCCCCTCCGCACCCTCTCAGGGCCCTTGCACCAACTCACCACAACTCGCCCCCATATCCCACCCATCTCTATTCAACACCCCTCACCCCTTTGAACCCTTAACCCCAAACCCCTTCCCCCTCGCCTCCCCCTCTCAGGTACCGGACTTCTATTCGGACTATTTCTTCCAGAGCTGGCTCTGCACCAGCCTCGCCCTGCCGCCCGCCTGGACCACCCACGACAACATCCCGCGCGTCGCCGCCACCTCCCTCTCGCCCGCCGACTTCGCCGCCCGCTTCGAGCGCCCCGGGCGGCCGGTGATCATCACAGGCGCCATCAGCCACTGGCCGGCGTTGTCCCGGTGGCAGGACCGTGCGTACCTGTGTGGCGCAGCGGGCGACAGTGCGTTTGCGTGCGGGCCGGTGGAGCTGAGCTTGGATCAGTACTGGCGGTATGCGGACGGAGTGCAGGAGGAGCGGCCGCTGTACGTGTTTGACCCGCGGTTTGGGGAAAAGGCGCCTGCTCTGGTGGGAGACTATGAGGTGCCCGAGTACTTCCGAGAGGACCTCTTCCAAGTGCTGGACCTGGGGACGGGTGGTGGGGAGAATGGAGGGGAGAACGGGGGTGAGCGGGGCGCGGGTGGAGCTGGGGGAGAAGGGGGAGATGGGGGTGAGGGGAGTGCGGGCGGGAGGGGAAAAACGGGGGAAACTGGTGAAGTGGAGGTGGGTGCAGGAGAGGGAGAGGGAGAGGGAGAGGGGCAAGGGAAGAAGGAGGGGCCGAGTGGGCGACCTGATTTTCGGTGGCTGATCATGGGCCCTGCCCGGTCGGGGTCATCATGGCACATAGACCCCAACTCCACGTGCGCCTGGAACGCCGTCATCACCGGCTCCAAGAAGTGGATCCTCTTCCCGCCCAACGAGGGCCCGCCACCTGGCGTGCGTGCGAGCCCCGATGGTGCTGACGTGGCGGCGCCGGTGTCGATCACGGAGTGGTTTATGAATTACTACGAGGAGATGCGGCGGGGGCCGGTGACGGCGTATGAGGGCGTGTGTGCGGCGGGCGAGGTGATGTTTGTGCCGCATGGATGGTGGCACATCGTGCTCAACCTGGAGGAGTCCATTGCTCTCACTCAGAACTATGTCTCCAGGTGGGCACGCAAGAGAGCGTCTCTTGTCGCTCACACATGCACACACATGCACACACATGCATGCCCTCATCTTCTTTCCACCCATTGCTTTTCTGTCACCTGCCTTGTCCCCATCGCTGCACTCCTCCCCTTCCAATCCAAGCCATGATTTCCCAGTCTCAACCTCTCTCCTCCCCTTGGCCCCCTCCCCCTCTTCGCCCTCTCCCCTCTCTCCCTTCCCCCTCACACCCCATCCCCCAGCGCGAACCTGTTGGATGTGATGCGGTTCCTGCAGCGGCCCAATGCGCGTGTACTGGTGTCAGGCATGGGCGAGGGGCAGCGCGAGGGGCTGCACGACCGCTTCCGTGAGTGCCTGGCGGTGCACCGCCCAGGGCTGCTGGAGAGGGAGGAGAGGGACGAGGAGGAGCGCAAGCTCAGACGCAAGCAGAAGGCTGCTTTCTGGGAGCAAGCAGCTAATGCGGGCGATGGGGGTTTCAGATTTGGATTTTAGAATGGCGTGCTGGTTTGCTGTTGAGATTAGAGACTTGGTGAAGGAGAAGCAGGACAGAGAAGGTGCTTGAATTGATTAGTTTAGATGTGTTACTTGCTTAGTATAGACCACGTACGGTACCGTATGTCCCCACTGTCGCTGCAATGGAGCTCGTCGTGTAAGTGCAGATTATGGTACCGCAAGTTATAAGCAGCATTTTTTTGGAGCATCAAATCCATGGTGCAACGAAATGGGAGTGATAAGTGAACGAAGTCACATACAAAGGTCAGCAGAAGCAAGAAACGCCCAAAGGTATGCTAATGATATTATCAAACTGCAGCGGGTAACCCGCTTAAGATGAGCGCACGGTCTAAGCCATGTGCTCCACAGCCCACAGCTGCTTTAGTCACATGCTCTCCATGCACCTCTGATTAGTCACTAGTCAAGCACGACAAATGGCAGCACAGGGGAACAACCAGGCAACAGAGCACACCAACAGCAGCAACTCAAAGCAGCAGTGCACCAAGTAAGCAAGCAAGCAAAGGGTGCGAGGGAACGGAAGCAATGGCAACACTCCCGTCCGAAGCACGCAAGCTAAGCGGCGCCAGGAGGAGCGGCAGCAGGCGGGGCAGCAGCACTGTAATCATACCCTCCCTGCGCACCACCCTCCGCTCCACCATACCCCTGCCCTGCCGCCTGCTGCCCCCCCGCCGGGGGCTGCTGCTGCTGCTGCTGCCCATACGCATCCTGCCCTCCCTGCGCCTGCTGCCCCTGCCCGTAGTAATCATACCCGCCCTGCTGCGCACCATACCCTGGCTGGGCATACCCCTGCTGCCCATACCCCTGCTGATCATACCCCTGCTGCTGAGGATACCCCCCCGGTGCTGCTGCATACCCCGCAGGAGGCGCCTGCTGCCCCTGCTGCTGCGGGTACCCCTGCTGGTATCCCCCATAGTACCCCGCCTGCCCGCCCTGCTGAGCGCCATACGCGTACCCCCCGTCCCCAGCAGGGGGGGGCGCCTGTGCGCCCTGCCCATAGTAATCGTACCCTCCCCCTGCTGGTGCGCCTCCTGCTGGCTGCGCGGGTGGCTGTGCGGCTGGCGGCTGCTGCGCTGGCGGGGCAGGCGGGGGCGGCTGCTGCCCCCCTGGTGGTGCGCCCGCGCCCCACCCCCCCTGCTGCTGGTACTCCCCGCCTCCTCCCGCCTGCGCCCCGTATCCCCCCCCGTAGCCCTGCCCTTGCCCGTACTGCTGCGGCGGCCCCCCGTACTGCCCCTGGCTGTACCCTCCCCCGTATCCCCCGCCCTGCTGCGGCTGCTGCCCCGGGGGCGGCTGCTGGTATCCTCCGCCGCCCCCTCCGCCCTGCCAACCGCCCGGGCCCGAGCGGTAACCCCCCTGCTGCCCCCCGTACCCTCCGCCACCTCCCCCTCCGCCACCACCGGGACCTGACCTTCGAGGCTGCATTGCCAAGGACGCGCGGGGGGGAGAGAGGGCGGACGAGCGGCGAGGGCACGAGGGCAAGCGAGCAAGAGAAGAGGCAAGAGAGGAAGGCAAGAGCGGAGGGGCCGGCATACAAGAAGCATACAACAGCAAGGTGAGTGGGGGAGGAAGGAGAAGGAGGAGCGGGGCGAAGGGAGAGACCGAAAGGAGGGAGGGCAGGACGAGCACAAGCACAGGCATGCAAGCAAGCAAGATGGGGGGGACAAGGGCAAGGCAAGGAGCGAGAGAATGCAGGAGAGCCGGGAAGGGTGGGAGGGGAACGGGGGAGCACACAAGGCAAACAAGAGACGCAGAAAAGCAGAAAATTTGGATGAAAGGCATGATCGATAATGATAGGCTCGCATGGCACTCAGATGGATCACGTCATGGGGGCGAGGGGGAGATGGGGACGGGGGGAGGGGAAGGGGGGGAAAGTGGAGGGGAGATGTAAGGGAGGTACGTACAGGGAGGCGGAGAGGGGCGGACGGAAGTCAGAGAGGGTGGGGCAACACAGCTTTTCAGCTCGACAGAGGGAGAGAAAGAGAGAGAGTCAGGACAGCAGGGGTCAACGAGACACAAGAATTCCGTAACACCACGCAATGCGAGTACGATGAGCAGCACGAGCATGAGCGAGTAACGACGGCCACGGGAGGCGAGCACGAGAGGTGTAACGACCAAGTCCATCTCAAGAGACGAGAAGCGCGTAAGGAAGGCTAAGCACGAAGTCCAAGCAAGAGAGCGCGATAGATGCAAAGGCGGAGAGGCTCTGAAAGGGAAAGAGGCGCGCAGGCAGGCGGGGGGCGAGGCGTGCGAGGCCCGCAGAGGGCTGGGCTGGTGTGGTCTGGTGCGGTTTGATGTGGTGCGCAGGGCAACTGAAGGAGCAGCGCCGCGCGGCACGCAGTGACGCGCGGAGAGGGCGAGTGGCGTGGCGCGCTGAGTGCGTCCCCTGCGCTGCTGTGCTCTGCACACTAGCGACACCCACGCAGCCAGCCGTGTGGAGTGGAATCACACAGGGTGAGACGACTCTGGGCATCGCATCGCATCACATCGCATGGCATGGCATGGCATGGCACGGGATAGCACGGCACTGCATTGCATTGCATCGAACCACACGGCACAGCATTGCAAGGAAGTGCAGAGTACTGGCATTGGTATCAGGATTGTGAAGGCATCGTGAGCAGAGGTCACAGTAGAAGCGAGTCACCACAACAGAGCTACGCTTTGCATTTTGCACGAAACGGGAAGCTGATTGGGCCGCAATTGGAAGCAGCGTACATGCAGCGAGCGGGAACCGACGAGACTCGCATACACCAACGCGCCAAGAGACACGCATGACTGAGCGGTGTGGAATACAAGTCCCATAACACGCCTGTTAACGTTTCCAACTGTCACCGGCAATAGAGACAGCGGTGGTGACGATGCATGCAGAATCCACAGCACGCGCAACATAGAGGACTCACTAAGCAAGATTGTGATGGAGAGCTAGACAGAGAGAGGGGGCGGCAACAAACAGCGACCGGAGAACGACAAGAGACGCCAAGGTACCGCACGCAAAGAACCACCCCATGTGCTCCAGAACGACGGGCCGAGGGGAGGAAGAGGGGAGAGGAGCGGGGAGGGAGGGGGAGGTGGAGTGGGGGGTGTGAAGGAAAGGCGGGAGAAGAGGGGGAAAAGAGGGTGCGCGAGGGAGGGGAAGGGGGGGAGCGGCAACTTACGTCGTCAAGGACCTCTTTGATGAGGTCCTGCGCCATGTCCGTCTGCGCCTTGCTGCCCATCAGCATCACGTTGCGCTCCGTGCACCCCGGCTCCACCTCGCGATCGCTCTGCACCTGCACGCACCGCCCACGCGCCACGGTGTCGGTGTGGGGGGATTGGAGGGATTGGGGGGGGAAGGGGAGGACGGAGGCAAGTGTGAGGAAGGAACAGGCGCGACGAGCGTCGACGGAAGGGAAACGGAAACGGACGGTGTGGAGGGGGGGATAGTCGGAGCGCGGCGAAGGGAGTGAAACGAAATTGAAAGAAAGGTGTGCCACGTGGTGTGCATGCAGTGTGACACGTCAGCAGCAGAGAGAACGCGGGCATCGATACCTGAATCCTTGCACCTGAACGCGCCTGAAGGCTCTTAATCGTCTCTCCACCTCGACCAATCATGAGGCCGACCTGAAACAACCGCACGGAGGCAACGCGCAGGGTACACGGCATTATGGAAATTAAAAGTTAGGTCTTAAAAAACAGGCGAACACAATGATAAAAAAAGGATCCTAAGTGGGACGCGAATAGATTAAGGCGCTCATAAGGCGCACCTTGTTGTTGGGGATCTTAATCGTCACCGTCTCCCCTCCGCCCTGTGCTCCAGGGTACGATCCCCCTCCGCCTCCTCCGCCTCCTCCACCACCTCCACCTCCTGCCGCTCTGGCCGCGGCTGACTGCGCAGAGCAGAAACGGGGCGAGCATGACGTTAATGCGATGAATAAGGGCCGGTCGAACGAGTCAGTCAGAGTTAAGAAATAAAAAAAGCGAGAGTGAGAAAAGGGAGGATGGGAGTGGGGGAATCGGAAGGGGAACGGACGGGGGAAAAAACAAAAAAAGAATTGGCGGACGCGAAAAGGGGAGCGAGAGGGGGGAGCAGTGAGGGCGCGGACCTCTTCGAGCACTTGCTTAATGAGTTGCTCCGCCTGCGCGATTTGCTCCGCCGTGCCCGTGAGCTCCACGGGGCGCGTGGGCGCGCGCGGGTCCGCCTCCATGTCGCGCGTGACCTGGATCTTGGCGCCCGACTGCGCCTGCAGGTACTTGATCGTCTCGCCGCCCTTGCCGATGATCAGCCCCACCTGTTACAGCGCGATTGCATCGCCATGTGCACGCGGGTGGTACCATCGGGGGTGGCGTACGCAATCAAGAAGCGGGGGACCGACCGATCCGAGAATGAGATTAAGAACTTGTATTTTTTAAAGTAAGAACTTACGATAGATGGTCTTATGGCGGGGACCTTAAACAATTGGCTTGCGACAGATCAAATGAGGAAAATATCTGGCACGTAAGCAGGAGCTGAGCCAGCTCCACATAAGCAACTCACCCGCGTGTTCGGCACGTCGATCTTCTTTGACTGCGTAGCGGCGCCGCCCTGTTGATCGTAGTAAGGCGCGGCGCCCCCCGGCTGCGGCTGCTGGTAGTACGGCGGCGGCTGGCTCTGCTGCTGCGCGCCAGCGCCATAGCCTGCACGCACAACACATCCTTCCATCAGCACATCGGGCAAATCACGCTGTTTTGTTTTCTTATTTTTCAGAAAAAAAAATGCTGGTGAAAATACGCCTGAGAATAAAATGTAGGAGTTATAGGCGATTTAAAAGGTTGTTACCAGGCGGACCTTGCGATCCGGGAGGACCGGGCGCGAAGCTCGCCACACCACCCGGCGGGCCTCCGCCGTTCGCGCCGCTCACGCCGGGAGGAGCCACGGCGGCGGCAACGCCTGCGGGCGGCCCGTCGTCGAACTTGGACCGCTTCGCGCCTCCCGCGTTAAGAAACTTCTGCGCGAGCTCTTCCGCCTTGCGCTTCGCCTGATCGAAATCAGACAGCGCGATCGGTGCCCCGGTGGTCTGCGCAGCCGGGGGGGTTGTCGCGGGGGGTGCGACGGGCGGCGCTCCTGGAGCGGCAGGCGGAGCAGTCGCGGCGGCAGCCGGCGCACCAGGCGCAGAGTCTGGAGGGGTAGAAGTGGGCGCGGGTGCGTCCTGAGAGGACTGTGGAGGTGCGGTGTCAGCCATGGCGAAGATTAAAGGACGCTAAACAATGACTTCAGGAGGAACCAATAGATAGGAGCAAAAAAGAAGTTTGATTGAGGGAGGGAAGATCGAAGAAAGGCACTAAATTGTGAGGATGCCTGCGAGGCCACAATCGTGGTGGTTGGGCGGGAAAGTGGTGGAAACCGCCTGTAGTCACTGTGCGACGTGACACTTTCGATTCGACGTTACAAATCTCTGTATCAATAAGTGGCACCTTATATTTGTTGGTTCAGTACCCACAAAAATCTCATTACGCTCTCTCCCAAGTGTGTCGCAGTCTAAACCTGCTGCAATTCCACGCTCGTGCATTATAGTGCACGAGGAACAAAAATTGACATGTGCACAACCCGAGGCCCTCCAAACCAAACCGCACACCACCTTCACACCAAGACACCACACCGCAACCGCCACTGGCCCCATGTTGACCCACCCAGATCCACTCATGGGCCCCACTACCCCTCACTTTCTGCATGAGTATGAGAGTCAAACATCAAAGTCGTCAATCTCATTGCCTGTGGACGAGGCAGATGAGGTGGAGAGCGAGGGCGGGAAGTAGGGGCCTTCGCAGTCAGGAGCATAAGGATACTTCCTCCACCGGGTGGTGCACCCCACACACACCCACAGGGGGTTGTACCCTGGGTAGTCTGTGAGATGGTCCCCTCCCAGCACACACTGCGCCATGCGCATGCCTGCCACCAGCGGAGCTGATGGGAAGCCGTACACGATGGGAACAAAGCGCGACCTACGGCACTGGGGGCACTGCGCTGCCCTCTCACTCTCCAGCCGCTGCCGAAACGCCTCCTGCCACGGCAACGGTGCCGCAGTGACTGATGGCGACTGCTGCTGGTCTGGATGCAACGGACGAGCTGAAAAGAAACGAGAAGGAAAGGGAGTACAATAATTAAAACGAGGAGCACGAATAAGCCGTGGATGGGAAGGTCAAAACAAACGGCTCTGCATCGTGTTGGTGACTTTCGTGTTACACACACTACCTGCATTTCACCACTGCTACTCACCGGCACATTCCTTCCCACATGTAAATCCACCCTGGTTGAGCCTGCTTACGTCTGTGCAACTTGGTGCCACCTTTCCACTTGTGCAGTCTCTTGCCCACTCTCCCTCTCTCACCTGAGGTATCTCCACCGCTGCTGTCATCTCCCTGTGCAAGATCGGCTCCCTCATGCACTTGCTCATCCGTCCTCTGCTGCTCCACTGCGCTTCTGCTGCTAGTAACCGTCCTGCTCTCTTTCTGCTCCTGCTCCGGTTTCTGCTGCTCCTGCTCCTGCTGCTCCTGCTCTTGCTCCAGCTGTTGCTCTTGCTGTTGCTGCCGCCGCTGCTGCATAATAGCTTGAGTGGCAGAGTGCCCCCATCGCAGCAGAAACAGTTGCTTCCAAAGGCAATCACTGCGCGCCACTGCCTGCCACGCGGAGCACGTGAGCAGCACGGCGGCCAGGTCTTCAAACGCCAGCCGAGCAAACACCGACTCCAAGATCCCTTCAGGCACACTCTCCCACTCCGCCGCCCCCACGCCGTCCCCTTCGCCTTGCCCCTCCGCCTTCCCTTCCCCATGCCGCTCCGCTGCGCCCTGGCGCTCTTTCTCCGCGTCATCCGCGCCTCCCTCGTCCGCCTGCTCCTGCAGCTGGGGCATCAGCGCTACCGCCTGCTGCCTGCCGCCTACTGCTGTCAGCCGATCAGCACTCTCTAGAACCGCTACCCCTCCTTCCGCCAACATTCCTGGCGACACCGGCGATAACAATCCAGGCAATACCTGCGACACAGACTTGACGCTCGAAGCGGCAGAGGTCAGCGCACACAACCCTCCTCCCCGCGCGTCCACTTCTTCCGCCGCACCTGCTTTCCTCCCTGCGGCGGACACCTCGTCGCAGCCCGTGAGCGCTGCATCTGGAGTGCCAGCGACGACCGTGGTACCGTACGCGGACAGCGACGAGAGAATGCATGCGCACGGTCGCGGACGGCTGCTTGCGCCGGCGGAAGGGGGAGGAGAGGCGGCGGAACATGTGAGGTCTCTACTGTCCGCCTCTAAAGACACCGGTCTGCGCGCTGCGACGGCTGCTTCTGCGTGCGGGATTCCTTGTCTCGACGACTCTGCGTCGACAGGAGATGCGACGCCGTGCGCAGCGGCAACCGGTAACTCGGCGCGAGCCCTAATCTGCGGGTCTAGGGTTGGCCAAGTTGACCGGTCCGCGCACGGCGAGCCCGCTAATACCGTCGCTCCTTCTAATCCATCAACTACAGTTCCCGTGACAGGACCTTCAGCCCTTTCAGGTGCCGCAAACCCCGCATCTCCCGATACGCTTGCGGAATCTGCTGCATCCGCTCTCCTCCCGCGCGCGGAGCTCTCGATGGAAGAAGCCGATCGGTACGAATCGCGCGGTACGGGCCGAGGAGCGAAATCTGGGCAGGATGAGCCGGTCATGAGCTCTTCGCGTAGGTAGCGGTTGACCGCCCAGTGGACCTTACCGCGCACGGCGCGCAGGTGGTTCAGGAGACGGGATGTGGACGCAAAGGGGCCGAGCAAGGAGCGCATTTGACGGAGCAGCTCCGCCTCGCCGACGACACGGTCCACGGGCGCTGCGAAGCGTGAGGTGCGCGCTGCTGGCATGATGAAGGGCTCGTTAAAGAGTGGCGGAGGAAGCGGCGATGCTAACTCAGCAGGCGGCAACGGCAACGGTGACAGGGGTGCAGAGCTTGACGACGGATGCTCCTGAGACGCCATTAGGTTTCTTGTCAGAGATTACTTTTACGTCCAGACCAGACCTAATCCACAAGCTCAGAACTAAACAAGCTGTGCTAAGCTATAGAACTTCGGTGAAGGGAGATGGCCGATTTTAGATGGAATGGCTGTGGTGATCATTCCACATCAGCAGCAAGAAGAGCATAGCTGCAGCAGTGGTGAGAGGAAGGAGGGATATGAGGTGATGTGGATGGGGAGGCATGACATCACGGGTGGAGGCATCGTCGAGCGATGTGCGACGACAGTGGGGTCGCATGGGCAAAACATCCTGCGTCTGTGCGAAAAGCGGCAACCTCCGGAACAATAAATAGTAAACACAAACAGTAAGCATACACAAACTCGCATCGCAACTAATCGCAGCGGCTGATATTGAAGTCCTACTGTTTATCTCCGCGCAGTCCGCACTGCAAAACACTCCTGGGGAAGGCGGAACTGCCACAGGGATGCAAGTTGGAGAAAACGGAAGTGCGTCTTGGAATTGGGGGATTTCTTGTTCTTTCAGCAACGGGTATTGTCAGGTGCTATACGGTGCTAGGGATTAGGGTAAGGAACCGTACAGTACCGAGTGATCAGGCGGGCAAACGTGGAAGACAACGTGGACCGTGATCAGTACCGAGGTGTGGGATGTGAGACTGACTTCGCAACGCTCGGTCACCCGCTAAAACTTTCTGAACCGTGTTCAACCCGATAGGACCTTCCTCCAAAAATCCGACATCCTCCCGTGTTCCCATCCACCAAATCTCCACATTTACTTCACCGTCGCCACACCTTTCGCAACCCACGTCGCCACTCAACGGGACCTCGGGAACTACAACAAGGGTTGGCGAAATCCACCTTCCATCCACTCACGAAAAGCCGACAGCAGAAGTAACCTGTGAGCTCGCCACTTCGCTAAAGCACGACTCTGAGCTTCTCCTTCCCGCAGATGATGGCTTTACAGCTGCTCCGTCGCTTCTCTCTACCGCCGCTACTGTCAGGCCCAAAACCACGCAGATCTCAACTTCCCTCCCTGCTCTCCTGCCAACAGCCGCCTCCTTAGCACTGGAGCGGGTTATTTTCGTATCACGCTTCGGGAAACGAACCGCGGCGTTTCATTGAACGGCAGCTTTTTTGCCACGTCACTAGATTTTTGAGTTTGTGTTTCCAACCGTGTTTCTTTGCTGACCATTGAAACAGCCTACCTGTTTCAAATTGAGGATATTGTTCTCGTCGCAGATAATAGATTCCACGTTAGGCGGTCCAATCCGAAGTTGGGAATCGTTTGGCGGTCCAATTAGAAGCTGGGGATCGTTTGGCGGTCCAATCACAAGCTGGGGATCAGCAAATCGTTTGAATCCACCGTAGTCCAGGGTGGCATGTTTGGGACCACCATCATAGCCAGCAAGGCAAAATTCGTACCGTTGACAGTCACCGAATAGCGCGTTCCAACAATCGGCAGTTAGGAATTTCACGCATTCTTCATGCTCCCTTTCAAACCCGGCTCTTCTCGGAATCACATAACGTTTTCGCAGCCTTCTTGGCATGTTTGCCAGTCCAGCCTTCCTGCATCGTATGGTCGGATGGCGGAGCTTCATGACCTCGACCATGGGACTTTCTGCAACGTAGCGAGTCAACTTGCCTGTCGCCGTTTTCGACGCCGGTTCTGACGTTGATGCTCGTTGTTTCACCATTCGCAGGACATCATTGAATTGGCGTGGATCTGCATCTCTTCCTCGACCTCGTCGCGACGCCAACTACAACGTGGCTGGAGCGACATCGATCTCCCCGACTTGTGTCGGTGAAGGTCGAATGTATCACCTTTCACCACCTCTCACCACAGAGCCTCCTCCCCCCGGTTAAGGTTTGGTACAGGTGTGGTAAAGGTTTTTTTATTTTCGGTACAGGTTGGTATTGGCTCTGTGGTGGGGCAGCACATTTTTCTTCACTTCGCCAAGTCGTTATTTCCGTTTCATGCCTTCTTCACTTCCGTATACTAACTAAGTGTTTTTTATACACTCGCAGGTTTTAATGGAGGTTGCGGTTGCGAGGCGTTTCGAAGATTAAAGAGGATTAACATCCTTTGGCGTCGTTTCATGCTTATGGCGGACAACGGAGGAGAAGCTCCACGGCTGGTGAAGGTGAAGGTTAAGAGTATCAATTTCACCCTTCACACTCCTGAGCCACCCCCCGGTTGAGGTTAGGTACAGGTTCAGGTCTGGTAAAGGTCCCCCTAAAGGTTTTTTGGTTCGTATTTGGCTCTTTTTTCCACGCTTCTTTTCGTTTTGCATTATTTGCTGTCCGACCTTCACTAATTTTCGTTTATTTCTTTATTTGCAGGTTTTATCTGAGGGTCTACTGCGTTATTCGAAGGAGCAACATCTTAACAGTGGAGCATCTCCACGACTGGTGAAGGTTGAAAGTATCAACCACACATTCTTTACGCCACAGAGCCACCCCCCCTTGGTTCAGGTTCAGGTTTGGTTAAGGTGGAGGTTGGTAAAGGTGTTGGTGAAGGTCCCTAAATTTTTGTTGGTTGGTATAGGTAGGCTCTGTGGCACTTGCACCATTGCAGCACTGTCCATTTCTGCATGCTTGGTTTACTGCTCATTACTAAGGGCGTATCCCTGGGTGGTGGCAGGGCAACTGTAGCTGGCACTGTTCGTGGCATGCGCATTTTCCGGGCCCCTGTGTTTTTGGGAAAGTTGCCACCAACCTTGCCAGCTACAGTGGCCCTGCCACCAGCCAGGGATACGCCCTAACCTAGTTCCTTTGATATCCTTGCAGGTTCTATTCAAGCCACGCTCCAGATGGTGTCAGAGGAGCACCTCACAGCTAAGCTCCAACTTTCAAACTTTGCAAGATAAGTTTCAATCTTGAGCCTTTTCCGTGCTTTCTCGCTCGAATGCTATTCCACTGGTAACTCCACGCTTGCTGAGTCCTTTTTTTGTCGAGTTGTGCTTCAACTCTACAGTCACTGACTTGTTTCATATTGCCTCATGGTAGGTTCTCCGAGCGCCATTAACACGCCATGGACCCCCAAGACCTTGCGCACCGCTGCACTCCAGCAAGCCCAAGATCCATGGGAGCTCCATGGCATGCTGAAGCGCCTCAACGCTCAGCACCACTCCACACTCCAAGCTGCTTAACCTCGGATAAGTTTCATCCCCTACCCTCGAGCTCCTTTTCTCATGCACATGGCTTTATTGTCTTTTTTGTTTTGCTTTGATGCATGCTGGTTTTTTGCCTTCTCTTTTTTATTATGGACTACTGTTTATCTTTTTTCTGCCTGCAGGTGCCTTCATGGGCGGCAAGTCCCAGTGGGTGGCAAGCCATGGCCTGCTGAAGCACCGCTCCACACTCCAAGCTGCTAACCCACAGATAAGTTTCAGCCCCTACCTTTGAGCTCTCTTATTCATGCACATGGCTTTTTTTGTTTGTTGATTTGCTTTGGTGATGCTGTAGTTTTGCTTTCTGTTTTTTATCATGGACTAATCTTTATCTTCCTTCTGGTCGGCAAGCCTGCAAGCCATGTGGCCAGTGCACAAGAGGGTGAAGCTTTGAGCATTGGCTGGGGACTCGATTTCGGGCCAAACCGGACTGGTTCTGTCCCCTCCCGCCCCCACCAAGTGACAAAACTGTCTGGCCAGCAGTGATGTCATTTGGTGGAGGTGGGGGTGGGCAGAGCCAGTCCCTAGTAGGGCACCCGCACATCTTGGTCCTGGCAATGCTCAAGGCTCACTGCCAGTCCATGCCAGGGTGGGCATGGATGGCATGCTGCCATGGAGTAGCTGTGGACCTGTGGTTGATAGGAATAGACAGAATTTCATTGGTTGAGTGTACCTCTGAATATTAATTCATTTTTATAAGGGTACATTCCGCTGTAGAATATGTCCCAATCGATGTGTCCCAATCGATTGAGGCGCGTACGTACAGCATATGCTGCCAGGTGTTGGAATGCCGTGCCGCCCGTGGTTGTCGCCGACTGTATTTATCATTGGGGGGCGTCAGGGCCTCAGATTCGTTTTGAGGTTGGCTGATTCATCAGCCTTGGTACACAAATATAGGCTGATGAATCAGTCTTAGCAAAAACAAAATCGCTGGAAAATCAGAGTTACCTAGAAAAAAAAAAGCTGGAACATCTGTGTCATTGAAAATAAAAGGCTATCTCATTTTTTTCCTACAGACAATTGCAACCACATGTTTTAGGGCGGTACGCCATCATCCCTTTGCTCCTATGCAGGGTGCTTATCACAGGTGTGGCCAAGATTGTCTTCGTGCTGCTCACCCCCCCTCGCCCCCTTCCCCCTCAGCGTTGTGCACACACTCAATGGCGGCCAAGATCAGCGAGTGCATCAGCTCTGCTCCTAACTGCACGGTATGGGAGCAACGAAGGGATGGGAGAGTTCAAAGGGAAGAGGTAGGTGGGGAGGGGGAAAGCGAGGGTGCATAGGAGAGGGAATGAAATAGATCATCAGTGCAACAGAGAGCTGCCAAGAGCTGAGCACGCACCAAAAAGGGTGGGAGGGGAAGGGGGGAAACGGGTATGTGGGACAGGAGCGTGGAAGAGATGGGCGAGTTGAAGTAGGAAATGTGTAGAAGTGCAAATAGGGCGGTGGAAGAGAGGAAACGATAGCACTGGGCCGAATAAATGCGAGAACACGGCATGGAGAATCCGCAGCGACGCCGCGGCGACGAGCTGGTATTCGGCACGTGCAGGCGACGGTGAAGGGAATTTAGCGAGCACGGTGACAAGCAGGCATCGGGGACGAGCAGGCGCAGACGGCGGGAAAGAGCAGGCGTCACGGCGCTGGTGACGGCGTAGCAACGAGCAAGCGCGGGCTTAGGAATAGGCATGCATGGGTAGCACGGGTGTCAACGAATGAGGAAAATGCATTGGGAGTAAGGCGACACTAAGGGCGATGTCAGGTTATACACTTCACACATGCTTACAGTTCCTGTATCGTGGTTCAGGACGGTCTAACACGGTGAAAAGCGGTTCTCGA